GTCGTAATACGTGTGTTGCGCTCTCCACGCTCCCCTATGAATCCGCCGGCCATCCTCCTCAATGGAGAAAATATTCATCCTGGCGGGTAATGCGGGCTGATCCCATCGCACCCACACCACGGCTGTAGTGAGACTAGCTTCGACTATCCCCCATTTCTTTCCATATTCATCTACGTCAAAGCCGTAGGCTTCCGCAATAAGCCAGAATAGGCATTTCTGAGGAAATGCTGGAGGTAATCCTGTCAGTCTGAAGTATTGGGCAGATGCCCCCACTATGTCTACTACAAGATCTTGAATGTGGTAATCTCCTAGATGGAGATCTGCTAGATTGATTCGTCCGCAATGGTCCGCTAAGTTTTTTACGGGCGTAATCCACTCCTCCGGTACGTAGACGTTGATCTGTCCAACGACTCCTTCGTCGTTGCGAGCTTCCCAAGCGACCGGTTCTCCGACGAAAACATAAGGAGCTTTTAGCTCCTGTTGTACTGTCTGCACTATTCGGTGTCCAATCGGTCCTGCCATAATGTCTATTACCTGCTTTCTGTTCTCTAGGTAGTTTCCTTGAAAGATTGCTCTCATTGCCAGCGATCGAAGTTTGCCAAAAGGTTGCTCCATCTTCGTAATTTCCCTAAGAAGGGAAATTGATATGGTTGCTTCAGATCGTTCCGCCGTCACACCGGCGGCCTGATCCGTTGAACTGTTGCGAGCCATTTTGATGTCTTTGTTCTCAGAAAAGTTATTGAAGGTAAATAGACCGACCGGGTTAACCCGGTTCGGTCATTGTTATGATGTTGAGTCTGCAAGTTGTGATTGTGGCTATATGGTTGCTATATTGCTATATTGCTATACTCGATGTATCTAGTTGACTCTCGATGACTTAGTTGTCTCTCGTTATCGTTACATGCAAGAGTCTGATGTTTGCTAGGCCATGCGTGTACAATATTTCAACTGCAAGCTTCATATTATTGTGGATGACGACATATAGCAACAATAATGAATATGCAATAATTATAAGGAATAAGCAATAATGAAATCTTGATGTGTGCGTATGCGTGTGCGTCTGTGCCTGTAATCACGCTTGCAGAAATTTCTCCAGGAACTTCGATGTCGGCGATATGTCCTTCCCCCAGTGAGTGCGAGCCATCATTATTGCCATACGTGTGCTGAGATACTGCGATCGACGGCTGATGCCGAGCGAGCAATAATAGACGATGAGAGTTCCATTTCAACGCCCCGCCGCTTCAGATTATGTATATGTGTTGGATGTGACCGACACTCATACACCAGAGAATGGTAGCAGCAGTAATAGGACCCAACGGGGGGTCCAGCGCTTTGCTGGTCTTAACAATATGCGTACGCATGTACATAATGCAACGCACGTGTTACATGTCCCTGCAAGGGAGCAATGGTTCTTCTGGCAGTGTGCCTGGAGAGCCTTCGGTAAGGCTAGCTTCTCGGGTAGAGGAAAGCATCGGGTAGAGGAAAGCAAGCACGCCTATCTGCACCTACCTACTGTATGGCCGCGGCGGCAGATGTATATATGCAACCCACATACAAGTAAAAAGTAGGTTTGCATGCCGTCGACCTTTAGTGGCAACCCCGGTCCGATTCGTTCCATGTGCGTCCATCCTTGGTGGGCTGTAGCCTATTTAGGCATATGGCGTGTTTTGACTTGAGAACACCACATAATGGAAATAAGCACCGCTTGACAAGAATTTCTAGGCTGTTGCGTCGGCCTCCTACTTTTTTCCAGTTTTTCGATTTTTCGACCGAACGAAATCGCATCAGCAGCTAGACATTTTTGGGTCAAGCAAGTTCCCGCGGAGGTAAGTACTCCCCTTAAAAGCCTTGTAGACTCCATTGCTAAGATCCTGCCCACCGCCATCCTTTGATTCCGCCAGGCCCGCCACCGCGACCGCCTCGACCACCCCAGGTCCTTGTCCTCCGTCGATCTCCCTCTCCTCCTTCTCCGCCTCCCTCTCCCCCTCCTTCTACTCCTCCTCCTCCTTCTCCACCTTCCTCTCCTCCTCCTTCTCCACCTCCTTCTCCTCCTCCCTCTCCGCCTCCTTTTCCTCCTCCCTCTCCGCCTCCTTTTCCTCCTCCCTCTCCGCCTCCCTCTCCCCCTCCTTCTCCTCCTCCTCCTCCTCCTCCTCCTCCTTCTCCGCCTCCCTCTCCCCTTCCTTCTCCGCCTCCCACTACCCCTCCCCCTCCTTCCCCCCCGATTCCGTGTCGCCACGACAATCCTTCTCCATCCCCACAACGCCCCTCCCTTTGGCCGCCCTCTCCTTCACCTCCTCCTCTTCCCTTTCCCCCTCCCCCATCCCCACCACCACGACCCCCGCTTCAACCATCTTCTCCCCCTCCTTCACCGCCGACCAACCCTCCTCCATCTCCTCTTTCCCCCAATCCACCATCTCCTCTTTCGCCATCATCGTCATCACCTAACTCCTCAACATCTCCACCACCACCGCCGCCACCTCCATTGCCGCCCGTTATCTGGGCCACATCAGCAACCAGCGGCGCCCAACAAACGGTGTGCTGCTTGGATTGCTTGCGTAATCCAATAGGTTCATTCATACAGGCAAATGACTCACTGTGCGGTTGTGTAGCCGGGTACCCTAGTAGCAGTATGTATTACAGGGGGCTCCAGATCCCTTGGGTAGGGACCTGTAGGCAACAGGGTTGAAGGGGTTGTAAGCGTACATTTATGAGGCACTGCCTGTGCTAGCGCGCTATTACTGGTGCTGCTCCCGAACGACTCCTAACTCACTGAGCCCCGAGGCTGCGCCTGCTGCCTGCCGCACCTCATCATCACATCTCGCTGCATCTATGGATTGATAACCCTGCGGATTAGTGAATGAATCATTCATGATGCGAGTAGGGGTGCATATCCCGCCCGCCTGCCCGCACGGGCGCACCATGCAGCAGAGCGCCACCACATGCACATGCATAAATGCACGGATGCCATACACACATACATACTGACACCCAATTAAAGAGCCAGTGACAAGCAAAAATAACTACTACTAATACTACTGCTGCTGCTGCTGTGGCGGCGGCGGCGGCGGCGCGCTTCTGTCCTCCCGCAGTCGTCATTGTCGGTGGTGGGCCCCCCCCAGCAAGCCGTTCTGCAGCTGATGAGTTGCAACGATGATTCCAAAGCATACCTCGGCTGGGCCCCGCCTATTGATTTTACACTGGCTGATATCGAACAGGTGCGTGTGTGAGATGCGCGGCGGATGCTTGATGGTGCCTCTTATGTGCTTTGCTGGTCACCACCGTACACGGCGGTGCACGAGCACCACGATAGTGATTGCTTGCCTACATACCTACATGCCTACATACCTACATACGCTACTTAATTGATAAATTAGTTAATAATACTGCTTTGATTATTTCCCCGGAATTACCAACTACCGTTGTCTTTTTTACAAATGGATTGGTACTTACAACAAACATAGGGCTGATTTGTATTTTTTTTCCACTAGGATATGCTGATTGGCTTCTAATACCTCCACCATTTTTCGCGGTACAGGAAGAGGGGACAGAGGAATTTTGTAATTATGAAACCATCGGCAAACAATTTGTTTGTGTCTACCAGTTGGTAATAAAGTTACATAATTTATTTGTTCATACGTACGTACATGCGTACATACGTACATACGTAGCCTGGCTGGAAACGTGCGTGTGCTGATACTTGGCTTTTTTTCTGCAGGAGGCGGCTGCCAGTGGGGCATCCGGTCGCTCCCTGACGATCTCCTTCCGTAGCGATACCCTTATCCCCACCGGCGCGCAAAGCCGGAGTGTGGGTGTGTACATGATCTTCACCGGCTCTCTGGACCCAGTCATAACTGCCGTACAACTGCAGGTCGTTCCCCAAGTCGGAAACAACGGCAGCCCGCAGCAGCAGGTGCGTGCTGAGTGCATAAGTGCGTGTGTACAAATCAAATCAATGTCCGTGAATGAGTTTTTATATCAGTCAACGGCCTTTTCACTAGGGTAAATATACCCATGGGCTGCAGCGTTGCAGGTTCGATATGTAGGCCTGTTGGTACCAGCTAGTGATGATGAACGGAGGCAGCAGGATACGTATTTCGTCAGCATGCTTGCCTGCACGCGTGGGGCTGGGGGGGAAGAAATGACCCCCAAGATTGTTTGCAGTCGCCACAAGCAATCGGGCCTCGCTTCCTGAGGGCAGTAGCCAGCCTGCTGCCTGAGGCCCCATCCAACGAGGGGTTAAATGTGCCTGTTGCCAATTTCCGTACATCCGCCCGTACGTATGTATGTATGCGTGTATGTGTGCAGGAAGCGATTTCTGTGGCCATTTTCGATGCTAGGCGGGACCCAAGTCCGCAAGTGAACTGCCCTGGGCTTACATACTACAATATTAACGCGAGTGAAACGTCGACTTTGGCTGCGGAGGAATTCTCCACGGCAGCGGTGGTGGGCGCCATTATCCAGTTTAACGACGCGCCCGTGGAGTTTGTTTCTGAGGTGCCCATTGTGGCCGCTGTTGGCCTGTTCTTGGGCTGAAGCATGCGTGTTTCGTCCACACGCACGCACGCAGCTGCCGGTCATCAAGCGCGTTTGGTAGCCCCCAAGTGCGTGTGTGGCACGCACGCATCCTCAGTTGGCGGACGGATGGGAGCATTACTATTTTGCACTGCTAGTAATGCAAATAATTTATACATTCTGCTGGTCAGGCTGGCGGCAGGGTCGTCCAGTCGTCCGTCTCGCTTGATACCTTCACCTCCATCTGTCGACCTGGTGTAAAAGACATGACTAATAATATATTCAGCAGCAGCTAATATTTTTGTATCACCTTAGACGCATTTCTCACACGCACATACACACAAGATATCCAACTACGGGCAGTAGCAGCGGATACTAGATGTATATCCAGCTAGATTGATTGATAGGGAGTTCGATAGCTGGATAGATAGCGTGTGCGTATGTAACGTGTGCGGTACGTGTGTACATATAAGCTGAAATGTTTAGTCCTAGGTTTTGGAATGGTTTCGGTGAAGTGCTGTCAACCACAGGCCAGTGAATTGGGTTTCAACGATCGCCTGATTTACTGAGGTGGCAACTGTATGCCGTACGGAACTGTATGCCGTACCAGCCAACTAATATCATTCATTACACACAGCAGCAGGAAGGATCTCAAGCCATCGATGGATCGACAATCGGATCTGGCACATGTGGAGGGATATGTATACAGTTACGGGAAGTCCGAGGCTAGGCACGCACAGTGAGACGAACCCTAAGACGCGAAGTTGGAAGTTGTGATGATCGTGTGGGAAAAACGGGGGGGATATCGCTGTACCAGTGGTAAAGCATAATATTTAGTAAACGGGACTTATTAAAAACTTTTGTAGATTCACTTTGTTTCAGCTATTTGTGGTCACCAGCCTGGCAGTCCCCCGACCACCTTTCCCGATGTTTCGCCACTAGGGGCGCCCTCTTCATTTTTATTCCGCGTGTGCCGGCTTCTCTCCGACTTCATTGGTCTTCCCGAATTCAGCGCCCACCACCACTGCCACCAGCGTACGGCGGAATCTGCCCCAGGAACAACGGCAGCCTCAACTTCTCTCCTGGCCGGGTCACAGGTGACACCTTTCACCTTGTGATGTCCCTTATAACAACGCCCCATGATGTCCCAAGTAAACAGTCCCAGTAAACCCAGATGAAGTAAGCCCAGATCTGAAGGCACACGAGCCGTGTATCGGGTCTGTATCGCGCTCCTTACAACACTCAGGGAGTGCTACGCGCGGGTGTCGTTGGTTCACCACATCTGCACCTTCCTAAAGAGGAGGAACCCGACCGCTTAACAACAGGGTGCGGTGCGTGGTACCCCGGGGTGTCGACAGGACTTGACGTCAGGGCCGGTCTGGCATCTAGAGCCGTCGTGGCGCCAGCAGCTGATGACGATGAGGATGGTGATGATGATGACCTAACTGACAGCGGTCGCTTGCGCTCCATGCTTGGGAGACTCGCTTAGATGGAGTTTCCAAACAGCAGGGCTTGGTGCTCTTTCCGGTGTCAGGGGCTGTAAGATATGACCAGGGGATATGACGCACGAGCATGCATGCAGTAAGGTCGGGCAGCGCATATTCCTTTTCCCGGTGGCAAGAGCTTCCTTCTAGAGCAAAGAAGCTAGAGGTGGGTAATGTAAAAGGAATGGCGCAGGCAGCCCAGCGGAGCAAGAGAAGCGACAGTTGTGTTGTAGCGAGATAGTGTATGGAAGCGGTAGATGCATTGTAGCACCCAGGATACGGAATCCTCAAAGTACTTTAGTTGGATTGGGGGAAGACAGTTATTTTCCAGTCCTTGGACAGCAATGCCCCATCCCCCAAGTCACGCACGCGCTACTTTGAATCAATGCAACCAATGCTGTCTTTTTCCCTTTATCCCAGGTGATCAGTGGCAGCCTTCATGTTCTATGACCTCGCAAAATCGCATTGTGTTTCCAATGCGAGCTTGCGTTACATGTGAGGCCCAAGAACCAACATTGTCCGTCAAAGATGCAACTGCAGCGAATGCTGCTGCAAAATTGCAAGCAAAATATTGGTTTCGACACTGTACTTCTGAACAGATTGTGCTGTCAATGCAGCATCGACAGCCGCTGCAGCATTTAGTTTGCCTGTCCAGCTGCGAGTTAGGTCCCCGTTTGTACAGCCCAGGCTGAGAACCTTGCACAAGGCGTGCTGTTTAGGCCTATTTTGTAATATTTTATGCCAGTGTTCGCTATCTAGGATGAGATCACACAAAATTGGACTAGCCGAGGGCTGGACTACTGTGCGGAGGCCATCCAAGTGCAAAGCCATAGATTTGGTGCGTATTGTTTAGTCTCGGAACAGCTGTGTCGTCCCTGGCTTCTGGTTAGGTTGTCCTTTGGACTTTCATTCGTGTTTCAGATGAGACATCGCACTGTTTTGCTGTCTAGCTATATTACTTGTCGGTCACAGATTTTAGCTTTCGGTGATGCCTGCTGGCCATAAGGCGCAACACACAGTTGACGGGTGTTCGATGCAGTCGCAGCGGTTTACCGTGTTAGAATCTTCCCACGGCTTTAGGATTGGGTAAGTGAATGACCTACCTCTGATCTATACCTCGAATACGATAACGACAGCATTGCGTTGCGCTTTGTGCGTTAGGCCTTCGCCTGCCCACCTGTCGATGCCTTGCATTGTGTGCTCGAGGCTTACTTTTTACCAATGTTTTCATTCAGCGAACATAACATTTGTACGAATGACAAAGAAACCACGAAACCGAGGCATGGCTACTTGCAGAAGAACCCCTTGCCAAAGCAGGCTTTGTATGACGCGTGCAACTAGCCAAGCCAGGGCCTTGGATAACAATACTAGTCTCTCCAAATTCAAGTCAGCCGCATTTACCCGGTTACTGCGCGACCCACTACTCCCGGCTATTACTTAACCCAATCCTGCGCTCTCTGACCCTGGCTACGCCATTCCTGATCGTCTGTCCCTACAAAGAAGCCAAGCCAAATCCATTCAATCGTCAAGTAATCCTCCGATGGCCGCTGCAGCAGTTGAAGTAAGCATCAGCAGCAGTAGCATCAGCTGATGTGGCAATGAACGGCCGGACGCGATAGGTCCTACCGACTTGCTCCCGGCGCCTCCATGAATCGCAACAGCAGCGGCAGTAGCGAGGCGGAGGGTCGCTACAGCGGCGGCGTCAGCACAACCGCCGGCAGCATCAAAGCCGCAGCGAGTGCTGCCGCCGCAACCGCCGCTGCAGCGGCTGCGGGCCCCGCGGGCGATGCACATCTGGTTCATGCAGGTGGTGCTCCACAGGGCCTGATGGATGCCAGGGTCAACGGCCAGTGCGGCGTCCCGCGACGATTCTGTGCGAGCCACCTTCCGTCGTCATCACCGCCAGGTGAACCGAGCCGTCGTGGCCACGGCCAGGCTGGATACCACAGCCCGCACCGTCTCCTCGGCCCTGCCATGCCCGAACCGGGCCGTTTCGCAGCAGAATCAGCAACAGCAGCAGCAACCACAACAAGACCAGCATCATCATCACCACTGTCATCAGTATCAGCAACTCAAAAAGAACGGCAGCAGCCACAGCTGCGGGATGGGTGCCGCACAGCATCATCGGCAGCAACACCATTACCATCAACAGCAGCAGCGACCGGAGCCATCGCAGCCACCAGCACCTCTCCCCAACAGACAGCACTGGCGGCGATGGCCCCACCACGTGCCGCGGCCCCACTGCCCGGGTGTCCTCAGAGGCTGGAGCTGCTGGCTGCTGCGGTCCGCGGACTAGGCCAGGATGTCGAGAGCCGGTGGCGATGGCGCTGGCGCTGGCAGGGGCCGAAGCAGGGGGGGCGTTGCCAGGAGGGGCCGCCAGGCGGTGGAGTGGCGGCAGGGTCAGTGGGCGCCGAGGAGGTGAGCACAGGTGCTGCGGGGGCAGTAGCTGGGAGCTGGGAGCTGGGAGGGGACGGGACGTGACGTGGTGAGACCCGTGGGGCTATGGAGCGTGTTTAAAGGGGCCATGCAAACGGGCGATACATGGTTGGGGTTGTAATGCTGTGACGACCAACTCATAAACAGATCGAAGTTCGAGACAGAAGCAAGGAATCGCACGGTGATAATGAGAGGAGGAGGAATCACATGATGGTGATGATGATGCAAGAAACAACCACAATCAACTGCTGACGTCGACAGCACCCTTGGGAGGATTGGGAGCCCATCGGGAGGGCAATGCGGGGAATCCGTGGTGGCAACGTGGTGGGGGCAGATGTGGGGGGGCAGATGTGGGAGGGCAGATGTGTGGGGCCTCTGATGGGGGGCAGATGTGTGGGGCCTCTGATGGGGGGCAGATGGGGGGGGCCTCTGATGGGGGGCAGATGGGGGGGGCCTCTGATGGGGGGCAGATGGGGGGGGCCCCGCCGACTGCCCTCTGTGTGTGTGCGCCACGGTGCGCAGCACCTCGGACGTTTTACTTCTTTGGGTTTCGGGGCTTTCCGGGGGTCCCCTGGAGCAGTAGCAGTAGCAGTAGCAGGGAGCCATGATGCATGGAGCTGCAGCGGTTGGAGCTGTGCTCGCGTGGGGGGCGGCGGGAGAGCAGTCCTTGGCCTTTGTCGCCGCCTTCTTGTATGTGGGGCTCATCCCTCTCCCCTTTTTCGCTACCCCTCTCCCTACCCCACTTTCGCTACCTTAATCTTCTCCTGGATTACCCGTCTTTGGTACTTGGGCTCCATTCGCAAGTGGTTCGTCTTACTTACTTACGCCCACCCCCACCCCTACCCCCACCCCCGCCCCCGCCCCCGCCCGCGCCGATCGCAGCAGCTGGTTCCCCTGAGCGCGGATCTGCTGCGGCCCCTGCTCAGGCCACAGCCCTGCCTCGCCGTCCTTCTGGAGGCCCAACGGCTGTGGCGGGACCAGATGGGGCTGGAGCTACAGCCGCTCAAGGGGCTGCTGGTTGCGCTGGCACTACCGCCGCCGTCACCGCCGTCATTGCCCCCAGCAACAGGAGTTCCAGCAGCAGCAGCAGCAGCGGCAGTGGCAGCGGCGGAAGAGGTACGGATGGAGGTACGGCGTATCTTTCGCGTGGACCTGCCCGGCAGCTGTAGCCGCAGCGGCAGTGGCGGAACGGGCGGTAGCTGTAACAGCAGTAGCAGTCGCAGGCTCCGACCGCATATGGTTTTGGAGCAACTCTGTCCTAACGGTTCAGATGTGGGCTGGGCCTGGGACGATAGCGCGGTGGCGGCGGCGGTGGCGGCGGTGGCGGGGCCGGCCCGTGTATGCCCGACGCGAGGTCGCGGCGGCGGCGGTGGTGACGCATCGACGCCGACGGCCGGGTTGACGGCAGTTGCGGCCCTCGGAGGCCCCAGCGGATGTAGGTCAAGGTGCAAGGTGACGTGTACTGTACGACACGAGGGGGCATCCCGCGGGATGGACACCGCTCCAGGGGAGTTTCAAGGCTCAATAAACGCGTCATATGGGTCAGCAAACGCAGCAGCAGCAGCAACAGCAGCAACAGCTGACGGCGAAGGCGAAGTCCAGGGCGGGGTCCTTCTCGATGATGCGTTGGCGGCGCTGGCTCGCCGGCTGCTGGCGTTGCCGCTACCGGAGGCGAGTGAAGGGCTGTAGGGTTGTGAGTGGGGGAGGGGGAGGGGGAGGGGGAGGGGGAGGGGTTTCAGAAATGCGGCCGGTGTAAGGGTCTCTGTGCGCGGCTGTATTGTGTTTTAGGGTTTTACACACGAACATGGACATGCACATACAAACGCAGTCATCATGGGAGGTGGATACTGCCGTACTGTCATGTCGTATCGCGTCTGATTGGGTATGTGGGGGGAGAAAATACAAAGAGTCCGTTGCGGGGGGAGAAAATACAAAGAGTCCGTTGCGGTTGTGGGTTGCGGTCGTACAACGTGTTGCGGTCTTGGTTTCGCTCTGGGGTTGTGAGGTGGTGAGGATGTCCGATCCTGCACTGGGGCTACACCTCCTTGTGTGTACCGGACCCTGGACATGTGTGCTGGTGTCGGTTTGGACCGACACCGGTGGGTTGAAGCTCTCTCCTCTCCCCTCCTCATCCCCACCTCACCTTCACCTCTCAGGGGGCCGGGGGCGGTCCAGGCTGCGTTCATAGGCGTGTGTCTTCATGTATGTATGTATGTATGTATGTATGTATGTATGTATGTATGTATGTATGTATGTATGTATGTATGTATGTATGTATGTATGTATGTGTAATACGCAGGCAAAGAGGTTCACTAAGCTGTTGTGACCCAATCCGCAACTGACTGCCCGTTTGATGGCAACCACACACACACCACCGCCCACACTTACCACCACCCGTCACTCGTCCTTTTACCCCCCCGCCATCACCTCTCTCATCATTTCTCTTCCCCTCTTCTCCCTGTCTTTTCCCTGTCTTCCTTGACCTCACCGCCCTCATCAACCCCTGCCACTTCCACCCCTACCACTTCAACCCCTACCACTTCCACCCCTACCACTTCCTTGCTTTTGCAAATGTAAATGTGAACTCTCAATCCCCGCCAACCCCACATATCCCCACACCACACCACACCATCACCGTACGGCAGTTACTGGGTGCTGCAGCTCGCTTGGACCTCCACACTGCCTGCTTACCGCACCTCCGCGCCATCAGCCGGCTCCGGAACCGCCTACACCACCTAGAAGAGCAGCCACTGGAACCAGAAGCGGATCCGGATTTGGATCCGGATTCGGATCCGGAGCTGCCTCAGGAGAACCAGCGCCTGGCGGACGTGCCCCAGCAGGAGGAGGGGTTCTCGAATCCAAGGGCGGACGTGCGGACTCGACTTAATCGCGGACTGGACTTCAGATTGAAGCCACAGCCGCCGTCATTGCAGCAACAGGAGCAGCAGCAGGAGCAGCAGCGGCAGAATCGTGGGCTCGGAGGGCACCATAAGCGACAACGGCGGAGTCGGGGGGTTGAGGAAGGCGACTTGATCGGGGAGGAGGAGGGGGAGGGGGAGGGGGATGGCTGTGTGGCGGAGGGGAGGAAGCGGTGTACGACGGTACGTCAGCCGCCGAAGCGGCAGCGGCGGGGCGTGTCCAGTGTCAAGGCGGCTGTCTTGGTGAGTCTCGCTGTGGGATCTATCCACATGATAGTGGATAGATGGCCCAGATAGTGAAGCCCCTCCTCCCCATGAGGGACAGAGATTGGAAGGAGTGTACTGTTAACTACTAAAAAGGGCACTGCGTGTATGTACGAACGTACGGAGTCGACACTTGTGACACTTCTGGCGATGGTGGATATATAGCTTCTACAAACTTTGCAAAAAACTTTCACCCATTCCGTTTATATTTTATATTTTTCCTGCTCGTCCATCATCTGTGCTTCGTCGTAAACCCTCATATCGAATTAGATATCTTGGTTGCATAGGGTAGCCCCGAAACCGAATCTCAAAATGACTCTCGCTTTCCCTCGGGTTTTAGGCGGCGCAGGTGGAGGAGTGCTACATCTCCCTCATCCGGCTGCTACAGCGGCCACCTGACGGCTGGCCCTCCGTGAGACGGCTGACGGAGGTGCTTCAGCCGCCGCCGCCGCCGCCGCCGCTGCTGTCGCCGCCGTCACCGTTGCTTCCGCCGCAGCTACAGCTGCTGCCGCCGCTGCCGGCCTCGATACCGCCAGTTGGGCCCACCGCGATTGCCGCCGCCGCAGTAAATGAACCGGCGGCGGCGGCGGAATCTGCAACAACCTCTGCCGCGACGGCTGTCGCCGCCGCCGCCACCGATGCTGCTCCTACTGCGTCTGCACCTACGGCAGCAGGCGGTACCGAGGGCCCCGCCGCCGCCGCCGCCGCCGCAACGGAAGCTGTATTACAACTAGTTTCGGTTGAGCAGAGGCCCGTACTAACCGAATCAGCGAACCTGGAGGATCCGATAGGGCCGGCAGCTACAGAGGAGGGGAGCTCTAAGGAAATGGTCGGTACAGCTGTTTCAGTTTCGGTTGCGACCGTTAGGGATGCGGTTAATAACGGCAAAGAGGATGGAGTTTACGACACGGCGCGTAGTACGGCGGTGCTGGAGATGCCGGAGGAATACGAGTTAGCGGCAGCTGGAGAGGAAGGGGAGGGCGACGCCGCTGGGAGTGACATGACGTTGGAATCTGAGGTGACGGAGGAGCGGGAGGCTGAGGTGGCGGATGTGATGGTGATGGCGGCGGAGGAGGCGCCGGCGGGAGCGTCGCAACGCGCTGGGAGCAGCGGCGGCGGGTCAGCGGGCATGGAAGAGCCGGCGGGTGTGAAAAGTACGGCAGCAAATGGATGCACGGCGGGAAAGGATGGGGCTCCGCCGCCGCCGCCGTCGGGCTACATCGGAGCGCCGTTGAAGTGGCCGCCGCCACCGCCGTTGCCTTTGTCGCTGTCGTACTCTGCATCGTCCTGCGGTTGCGGACATCCGTTACAGGACGGCGACTTACCACCGCCACTGCCGCCGCCGCCGCCGGCACCACCATCTTTTTCACCGCAGCCGCCGCCGTTGCCACCGCTTCCACCTTCCTTACCGCCGTTGCCGCTTCTTCCATCCTTCTCGCCGTCGCTACCGCCTCTTCCGCCATGCTCTCCCGTACCTCCCCCTCCTCCATCCTTCCCACCGCCACAACAAAAGAACACGCCACCGTCACTTCAGCCGCCGCCGCTTCCACTCTCCCCCCCGCCACCGCTAGGCACTCCAACCCCGCCGGAGCCGCTGCCGCTACCTCCACCTGACGTGCCGTACACGACATGGACAACAAAGCCGTCAGTAGTTCCAGTTCCGTTACCGAACACCCGGACTACGACAGCCTACGTTGCCGTAAACGATACGGCTGGACGATCAAATTCTTCAGAGGATGCTCCAGCGGAGGTCGCGTCGACGGCGGCGCCGCCGCCACCGCCAGGGGCCTTGGCGGCACCGCTGAGGGCTGAGCTCGGAATGGCGTCAGCGACGCCGTCGTCACTGCTGAGCGGCCGCGGCCAAGGCGGCGGCGGCAGTTGCTCCAGTGCGACCCCTGGGTCTTCCGGCCGTGAGGCAGATGGTCCGGACAACCGAAGGCTAGGCCGCGAGGAGAGGCGCATGCAGCGCAGGAGGCCATTCAGTCCGGACGGACGCGACGGGGCGACGAGCACAGCGGCGTTATCATCACTGCCGCCACCGCCACCACAGTGTACGATGCTGTGTACGGCAGCGCGTGACGGCGACGTCAGTAAAGTTGCTGTGGAGAAAGCGGCGGCAGTCTTGGACGAGTTTGGGCAGCGGGCGGCACAGCGCTGCGACGACGGCGGCGGCGGCGGTGGCACTGCATGGCGCCAGTCGCCGCCGCCGCCACCGTTGCTCGATTGCACGTTGCGATCAGCTGTCATGGCCGAGCGGGCACCACCACCGCCGCCGCCGCTGCCTTTGCTAGCTCGTATCACGCCCCCGCCGCCGCGTGAGCCGCCGCCGCGATGTACGGCATCGCCATTTCCTCCGCCATCGCTTGACGAGGCAACGGCCTACCTCACCATGGAGGGCTTGGTGGACTCGGGGCCACCACCATCGCGACCGGAGTTCACGGCGCCAGGGCTGCAGTCGCCGTCGCCGTCGCCGTCGCCTATATCGCCGTCGCCGTCACCGTCACTTATATCGCCGTCGCCATCGCCGTCACCTCTATCGCCGCCGCCGTCACGGCCGCCACCATCCCCACCATCTCTATTGCGGAATCAGCACCACCGAACGCCGAACCAACTAGAGAAAGTCCCGCTGCTGACGTCAGCGCCACGCAGTCATGACTTGCTCATGCCGGCGGCGGCGCCGCCGGCGCCAGCATCCGCACATTCACTGCCGCCGCCGGTTGCGGCTGTCCTGGATATATCTCCTCCTCTTATGAACCTGTCGAAAACCGCCAGCGCCAGTGGTGCAGTACAATCACAACCACCACAACCACCAGCCCAACGGCAAACCCTGGGGCGCTGCTGGTGTCCTCCTGAGCCACATGACGACGAACCCACGTCGCCGGGGCCGCTACCGCTACAGCCGCCGCCGCACCACCACCACAAACAACAACAGCAGCACATGCCGGCGTTCGCGCATTTGGTAACGGCGCGGGCATGCAAGGACTATCTCCTGGTGATTTCCCAGCCCATATCGGCGCCGGACAGCAGCGGCCCCACATCGCCGCCGCCGCCACCGTTGCCCACATCCACATCCACATCCGCACCCGCCCATGCGGTGGCGTGTTGTCTACCTGCACCTGTGCAAGCTGCTACTGCTAGTGCAAGCGCGACAGCTACAGCGGCGGCGGCAACAGCTACTGTGACGGCATCAGCGAGGGATTCGGCAGTTGGCAGAGCGCCACTGCAATTAGCTGGAAGGGCGAGATGGGATGCGCCACCTGACGGCAGCGCTGAAGCCGTAAGGGGAAGTGACGGCGACAGCGGCGGCGGTGGCGGCGGCGGTGGGATCGCGCGCGACAGGTCCTCGCGTTCGGTCTTGGACCCCGTCCAAGCCGCGGCCACCATTGGCAATAGCGGTGGCGGCGGCGGCGGCGCAGAGGAGGCCCGTGACCTTGGTTTGGACAGTAGTGAGACCCGTGGGTCGTACGACTCGCCGTTCGTCCGCAAGGACTTAGAGCAGGACCCATTCCAGCACCCCGCAAAGCGCCGGAATTGTCCGCTGGCGGATGTGGAGCTGAAGTCCAGGGAAGGTCACCATGCGTCGCAGCCGCCGTCACCGCCGCCACTGTCGTCACCGCCAGCCGCCGCCCCACGAGACGCCGCCGTCTTAGCAACCGCGTCGCGCCGTACCGCTGCGGCGGAACGAAAAGACAGCTATGAAGCCTTCGTACGACAGTACGAACGTAAGCTGTACGACTTCCTGTTACAACACGCGGGCGGTGTTACGATGGGGAAAATCGCGGCTGGATGTCCCATCCCGACGAAGATAACTGTCCGGGAAAAGCCGTACATGTTCCTAAAATGTCGTTCGCATTTGTACGTCAAGGTACGGACTCGAATGGGGCCAATGGAGGACATAAAATAAACACTTTTGGGAGCTGAAAATAAGAGTTGTTTCACCTGTCCCCCGGCAGCTGCTGGACTGGCTGCCTGACTTCGTACCCTACATGCCGCAATGCATTCACCCACCCGCCCACCGGCATAGACACTGACATGCGCCACGCGTTTTTCTTACCACTTCTTACATCTTAAATTTGGTGTTCTGCTCCACCGCTCCTTGCTCCCGCGAAATGCGATGTCCGTGTTCGTGGGGCGTCAGACATCTCTGACAACACCCGGACACCATACTTCCTGTTCGCGACTCGGTTCATTAAAAAAATAATACAATACCGCACACATACGTACATACATACGCGCACACATACGTACATACATACATACCGCACACATACGTACATACATACATACATACATACGTACATACATACGCGCGCGTGCGTGCAACTCCTCCACACAATTTGATCCACAACCCATGCCGGCCCTCCGAAACCATACCATACCTTCGTTACCGGGAGGGCTGTTTCGCCCCAACCCTGCGCTAACCCCTGTCAACACCAACCCCTGTCAGCTCGCCTGCCGCCACCACAAAAAGCCCTTGCACCCATCTCCTTTCCCTCCCGCCTCCTTTCCCTCCCATCTCCTTTCCCTCCCGCCTCCTTTCCCTCCCGCCTCCTTTCCCTCCCGCCTCCTTTCCCTCCCGCCTCCTTTCCCTCCCGCCTCCTTTCCCTCCCGCCTCCTTTCCCTCCCGCCTCCTTTCCCTCCCGCCTCCTTTCCCTCCCCTCTGGCTCCATCGCACCGCCACCCCGCCGCACCCTCTCACCGACGCAGTTGAGCGGTGATTTATTCGCTGCGAACCTCGGTGCTCGGTTCCCTCTCTCCCCTGAGGGCCCGGCCATCAGCCCCCACCGCCCGCACCAGCACCATCCCCGGGGGACCCGCAGGACCGGCAGCCCCATCACGGACATCTTGCCGCCACATCCAATTCCAAGCACTGACATCTTGCCGCCACATCCAAGTCCAAACCCTAGGCCACCTAGGCGAGGCCGCAGCCCTCATCGTCAGGGCCGCGGGCCTTCTCCACTGCCCACCAAGTGGGCAAACTGTGGGCCAAGTCCAAGCCCCCATCGCGGGCGAAGCCACAGCCGCAGCGGCAGCCCTTGCCGCGGCCGCACTAGTCCTGGATTTGGATCCGAATTCCACGGCCGCAGCCATCCTGGATTTGGATCCGAATTCCACGGCCGCAGCCATCCTGGATTTGGATCCGAATCCCACGGCCGCAGTCGCAGCCCCAGCTTCAGTCCCCGGGAGGCACAGGGACAAGGGCTGCGGCGAGGCGGCGGCCGCAGCTACAGCCGCAGCTACAGCCGCAGCCTGCACCGCTACCTTCATCATCATGATGCAGGTCCCCATCTTCGTCCTCGTGGAGCAACGAGTCCGCGAGGACGCGAGCACGGCGGCCGCCGCCTCCATCATCCCCCGCCGACACCGCCGTACAACATCTACCCGCTACCTGGAGAGCTGTTTACCGCCAACCCGGGGGCGCGCGGAGACATGGAGCTGTCGCAACAGCAGTAGCCGCAGCTGTAGCCGCAGCTGTAGCCGCAGCTGTAGCCGCAGCAGCAGCCGCAGCAGCAGCCGCCGCAGCAGCAGTAGCCGCAGCAGCAGTCACAGCAGGGGTAGTGCGTGTGGGCTGTAGAGGGAATACAAGAGATCCCTTTACGAGGCTCCCTTGGTGCTGCTTCGACGGCAGCAGAGGCTTACGTTCCGCTGTGTTTGAATCATTCCTTTTTCCTGACAAGTGTTTTTCAGAGCTTTTGCGTTTTGTCTTTGGCGTTTGCGTCTGATGACCTATGCATGGGTAGTAGTGCAACAGCATAAGTGACAAAAAGTGTGTTTTGGCCTTGTCTGGGGAGGGTTGGCGACATTCGGAATGGAAAGAGAGCCGATCCGGGGGTATGAAGAGAGAGAGTGTGTATGTATGTGTGTATGTATGTGTGTATGTATGTGTGTATGTATGTGTGTATGTATGTGTGTGTATGTGTGTGCATTTCAAATGAGCCACGTGTGCATCAAAAATGAGTCTTGAAGCGTTTTTCAAAGGTCAGGAGCCAGTATGGGATGGCAGAATGATCCCAGCGTGTTGCGGCTTTGCGGAATGCGCGGTTCGTGGTTGGTGCTGTCGGTCGGAACATTAAACGGCCACAAATCGGATAGCAAGGGCCGGCATCCGAAATGGGGTATCTACCTTTCCACAGTAGAAGTCTTAACACGTCGCTGCATTCATTTTTGCCTGCATGGGTGCATTTTGAATTGTTGAATTGTTGATGCGTGCATTTGTGCGTACCAACTTGAGCGTTGTGTGTTTCGGGTCATGCCAAAAACAAAGACTTGCTAGTCGTGTCGTTGAATATCCGTTTTGCTGCTGCTGCCGGTGCAAAAATCCTTGATAAACAAATTAGACCATTTGAAATTTTTTATTGTGTTTTCTTTGTCGTCTTGCTGACATTGTTTCCCGTGTAAGCGCTGGCTCGCCATGAACCTCTTCCTCCCCCACGTACACCCCCCCTGGATGGACCCGTTCAGAGGGGGAAAACCTTGTAATTGCGTTACTGTCATTCGCACTCGTTAGTCCGTTGATCCATCGTTCAATCCATCCTCGTCATCATCCTCACCTCCGATGTCGTACCGCCTGCAGGCTGCTACTGCTACTACTACTACTACTACTACTACTACTACTATTTGCCAGTATAACTAATATCCCCATGACGTGGCAATACGGAGCGTCACTGTACTACAAACTACAAAACCGTCTTCAAGGATAGCAAGTTGGAATAGAACAGCTTCTATCTCTTCCTGCGGTGACGCTTGCTCGCTTTAAGCTATGCATTGAAAGGCATAAGGCAAGAGGCCCAAGCTAGCGTTTGTGCTGTCCGGGCATTATGGCATAGGATCTCCGTACAATCTGTACGAACGTGTACGACACATGGTTGCGGGAAATTTAAGTGCCCTAAAAGGGAGTGGCGGAGTGAAAGGGTTGTGGTGAGCCGTTTACATGGACAGAAGCCGCCGCCAGCAATTCAGTTGTTCCTTTTTAAAATAGTGGTTGAGGCTGCCAACGAAGTTCTAAGAGCCGCCGGACCGGCGGCGCCGGGGGTGCTCTGTAGCGGATTTCCCGTCGGGCGAGGGGGGTTGTGCGATGCCGGGCCGGAGTTTCCGAGCCAGAAAAATACGCAACAAGAAAAGAAAAGAGTGATTCCGAGCCGGACGGTGGAATCGTACTGATTTGGGAGCTTGCCGAACGCAGCCTGTAGGAGCCGAGTGCGGTCATAGGGGGGGGGGAGGTCGCCCGGGGGGGGAACTGGGGGCTTGTGTCGCCTCTGTATGTCGCCCTGGAAGCTCTTGGTTTGTTGAGACGGGACCGCGAATCGCTTTTACAAGCAGCGAATGTAACACGCACACGCACACGATCACACAGGCACACACAGGCACACGCACACGATCACACACAGGCACACGCACACACAGGCACACACAGGCACACGCACACGCACACACAGGCACACAGAGGCACACGCACACGATCACACACAGGCACACGCACACACAGGCACACACAGGCACACGCACACACAGGCACACACAGGCACACGCACACGATCACACACAGGCACACGCACACACAGGCACACACAGGCACACGCACACACAGGCACACACAGGCACACGCACACACAGGCACACACAGGCACATGCACAGATACACACACATACACATACACACACACGCAGGCGAAGGCTTGCAGATGTTGCGACGGGGGTGTCGTTGCTGCATATGTCGCTACAAAGCGGCTAGAAAGCTTTGCCTATCTTTTACCACTCGTAAATATGGGTTATAGCGCGCTTGATATAATCGTGATGACACGTGTCACTGGTAGACCCACTTGGGCTACGATTGCACCGTTTGGTGATGCTTTGCGATGGCAACTTTATTCCCGGGTCGTACAGAATGCTGTACAAGTCGTCGTCATGATCGCTGAGCGGTGACGTTTAGCCGCGCAGCCGGGCGAGGAAATGCGTTCGTCCAGAAAGAACGGCGAAGCGGAAGAAGCGAATGCCGGCACGGGATCCCGGAGTTGGATGACATACAGAAAAACGGTGACGGCAAGGCCTTTAAACCCCAAACACTCCCATACTGATACGTGCGTGTCTCGCGATCGCCAAAGCACCTCACGCAAAGGTGGCTTGTACGCGGCCCACCTGCCGCTATCTCCCTTCCTGGAGTCGTAATCTAATATGAAGATCGTACCGTCGCGACATGATATCATAACGGGAAGCGATCCGTTCAGTTAGCGATTGTAATTCGTAATATTTTTATACCGCTGAACAATATTCTAAAGGTAGGTAAATGTTTTTTACTACACATATCTTGCCGGGCCTGACCGCCAAAGCACTCCCCCAAGGGAAAGGGGAGGAGCGTAAGGGGCCACTGTCCCCTCCTCAACCGCCAGATACCTTGCACAGCGGTACACGCAGCGGTATGGGTCTATAGAGGAAACCAAAAAGGAAAACTCCAAAGCCTCAAACGCTGTGCCAGGAGACAGCAGCCAGACAGTACCCAGCGTGTGTTTATGTGTGTGTATATGTTATGTGTGTGCTGATTCGAGGAAAAAAACTGAAAAAATACCAAAAGATAAAGCTAAAAAAGACCAAATTTTCTGGAGTTAATCATGATTTGGTATACTTGGGTTGGGTTTCCCATGAGCGGAATTTCATTACATCAAGACCGGCCTGTGTGTGCGTGTGAAGTTTGTGCAGGCAGATTGTGCGAGCGTGCGACCGCCATCACTCGTCTAGCGCATACGGGCGCCGCCACTTTTTCTCTTTCCCGCCCAGCGGGACGGCGCAGTGAGAGTCTAACCGTTGTCGGAACGCAGCAGAAGGAAGGGTCCAAGTTTGCTTTGCTCGTTTGCGGCATAAGAGAAGGCAAAGTTTTGACTGCCAGGGCTAGCTGTCGGCGACGGAGAATGCCGGTAACCGCGATTGAGACAGGCATCGTGCACATTCCCCGTATTAGGACGGCTTGAAACTTGCGCTGGGCTGCTTAGATACCCATAGATGATTACCTGATATCAAGCATGTGATTATGTACGAATTCGTGGAATATGAGGACGACTCGTCTGCCTGCAGCCCATAGTGGCAACAAGCTGTGAGCTTAAGGCATGGGTTCAGCATTTCTACCAAATTGGAATATGTTGATAAGTGGCTTCGTTAGGTTTGTGTTGAAACGTCGGCCTTCCCGTACCTAAATAACTGTTGGCACAACCGCCAAATCATAAGAGACAAGTTGCATGCTCTTCACAGACAGCTATTTCTGCATAACTTATTGACTGAGCTGTGATTCGTAGCTCATAACTTATCCGCAGCTTATAGCATGCTAGTTGAACTTCTCCTGGACCATCTACTAGCAGCTCCACGTTGATACGAGTTAACAGTCTGTAACAGAGCAGACTGGTGAAATTTCAAGGTTTTGCACCCTCGATAGACATGGGTCCGTTTAGCAGATGGACAAGGAGTCAGGTCTTCGCCGTGGCGGTCTTCATCGTTGTGCTGGCTGGCACCCAACAAGTCGCAGACGCCCAACTTACTGTAAAAGCGACGAAAACATCACTTGTGGTCAACACGATGAATGGCAGCCTTCAGATCTATCCACCTGTTGGAGTGCAGCCAACTGACTCGTGCCCGGACGCGCCTTGGAAGGTTTGTCCTCGGACATCCTATTCAGTATCAGAAAGCTTGGATGAGACATAAGCACATGCATTATCTTTTTTCCTGGCGTTTGGCATGCCGTTTTCGGTCTTGCGTTGACTGTTTTGAGGACGATTTCTGCTGTTAGCATCCAGCCCATCAGAGCTGGAATTATCTAACGGATTGATTATCATGCGGCTTTCCCAAACGACCGGCCTCGGACGTCACGGCCGATTTTCTTGTGCCGGGACGCAACGACAGCTCGAATTGGGCGCCACGAACTGCCGCTCCGCGAATTGTGATAGGTTAATGTCACAAAAGTGCATAGCACAGCTGCTGCACTGAATTTTGCATGCTAGAGCATTTCGATGACGTACCACAAGCAATATGTCGCCGCCTGGACTCGTCTTGACCGCAGAAATGGAAGTTGCTTCACACATCGCCACCCGATTACGACCCTCTGCATTGGAGCAAGACGCAGTGGCAAAAATACATTGTGGTAAGCCCCCTCTCAGCCTCGCGCGGGGCTCTGGTGCAAGCCAGACAACATTCCGACAGCATGTCAACAACGCCAAACAACACTTTCCCCACCCCCTGAAAGTCTGCCTGCGGCATGTGCACGTGTGCATGAGTGTGAGCTGCATCCTTCCTTCACTGTAATCTATAAAGGAAAGGTGCCAAACCCAAACCCGAGCCTTACTCAACCCTTTGAACTTACCCACCGAGCTGTCCTACACTCCTGTCTAAAGAAAAGCTACGAAGGCAAAAACAACGTAACCCCCCGCTCCTAAAGCTGTCAAGTATTCGACCTTTTTGATTATTCTTCCCCATTTCGGCCTCTGTCGCGACAAAAGGTTCCCAAAGGTTCCCACCATCCTCCGCACACCCATTTCTGATCTTCTGTTGCGCACCCTGACCGTCACAAGTAGCAGCAGCATCACAAGTAGCAGCAGCAACAACAACAATAGCAATAACAATAACAGGATCGACAATCCCCCTGGAGATTACCTGGGAACAGGTATCAAACATGGCTCAGTCCACATGTGCGATACAAACTTTTCTCCTCAGTGTGGCTTTCCCATCTGGGTCGCGTCTGTATCCGGGCCTCTGATGTTTTCGAGTTTCAAACTCAAAATCAAGCCCCCCCGGACGCCTGTGCCCCCTAATCCCCTCCTGTTACGCACTACTCTGCCGCTCACCCTCCCGCCCACTCTCCCGCTCCCTCTCCCTTTACATACATATATAACTTAGGGTTCCGTTATTTACTAATAAAATTCCGACCTCTCGCCCCTTCGCACACTCCACAGAACTACCCCCTTCGCTCCGCCGGTCTATCCCTGGCTTTCTTCCTGATTGGACTTGGCGCTTTGTTGCTGGCCCTTACATGGTCAGTCCAGGGAGGGGATGAACCTAGAAGACCAAGGGTTAAAGTGTTATAAAAACGCGGTCTAGATTTTTACCGTTAATTTATCGTTATTTTATGCTACAGAAGAATTCCCGATCAGGTGGGAATCTGATCTGAGATCCAGCGAGGCGGGAAGTATAAGAAAGTTTAAAACTATTCAAAGACCTGATGAGTCCTGGGAGGGCTATTTGAGTGGGTTGCGGTGGCCCCGTCACTTCGTTGTCACATGGAAAGAGTCCAGGACGGGTGAAGTGGTAAACCAGACGGCTATACCCCAGGGCTCAGGGGAGGGGATTCTGCGTGAAGGAATTACCCATTCCCCTTCCCACCGCCTTCGGACGACGCCAGTTGTGCCTTTTATAATTTCGGTATACATACATGTCTAAAGTTACACATACAATCATATATACAATAATATGTTATGTACATCATCATATGTATAGATTATGTACTATATATAATCATGTATATACATTGTACATATACATCATACACATACGACTCTTTCCCGTGGCCCCGAAACCACCGTTCCCGCCTTCTCCCATGGGGCCGCTCCGTTCGACCCTTCCAGGCGCCTCGTCCAGTGGTGTGTCAGTTGCGGTCACTGCCAGCGGAGCTGTGGGGCCAGCACAGACGACACGCGCTTCCTGGGTGACACGAAACACAGATACCTTAAGGTGGGGATCTGGGGGGGAGAGAAGGGGGGAAACCGCAAATGATACAAAATGCGACAACATTAAAGATGCCAAGAAGTGTGGTGCTAACGTACCAGCTGCTGATGCCGTGTGGGGGTTGAGGGAGGGAAGAAATGACCTGCAAATGTGTTAGCCACCGTAACCTCCTACCTCTTCCCCCATCGCCGATGACAGGCCTGGACCTACCTTCTTATTGCTGGCGCGCTGAGCATGGTTGTCTGGGGCATGTTGGCCATGGACCGCAGCCTGGTGGCCGATCTGTGGGATGACTTCAACGGCGGCATGAAGTACGGAAACTCCGTCAGCAAGAACTTGGAGCTTCTCAAGGTAGGACCGGTTATATTTAGGCGTAGGTGTACGAATGTAATTTGTATGTAAGTAATTCTGCATGTACATATTTGTATGTATGTATGTATGTGTGTATATGATTTAGAAATTGGGAACACATAGAAGTACTGTAAATGGACGCGAGGGGGCCGGGCACTGGCTTCACTCACATCACGTGGTGCACCACGTCCCCTTTTTCCCGGCTCCGCCTTCTCACGCCGGCAGTTGTTTCCCTTGACTTTGCATATGTTGTTTCCCCACCCTCCTCTCCCTCCCTCAGCTTCATTCGTGTGTGGTTCGTCTTTCCCTCCCTCCTTCCTGTGCGCGCTTCCTTCAGGGCAATCTAATGGTGACGATACCCGATTCGCTACGCAAGACGGAGCAGGTGGTGACGGACCTCGTGGGTGCTGACAGACTGGGTGTCTTGGTGCAGGTGGGTGACGACGTGTGTGTGTGCGCGCGCGTGTGTGTGTATGTGTGTGTGTGTGTTTGGGAAGGGTGTTGAGCGCCCATCCCCCTACCTGTACGGGAAATTAGGAGGGTCCCAGGGGGGATCACGTCAAAACACATAACGGAATGCATGCGAGGTCCTGTGCACGTGGGGTGGAGCGGGGGAGGATTGGGGGAGGTGCCGGTCGTGATGGAACGCGACGGGGCATCCATCGCTCGTCGTTTGCATGGAAGAAAGGAGTTCCTTGGGGTCGGGGAGGAGAGGATTTCCGAGGGGTCAGCCAGGGGATAGGAGCTGCACGGTGGCGAGGGTAAAGAAAGGGACGTTCGCAGAGATGAAAAAAAGGGAGGGCGCTGACGGGGGCTCTTGGCGGGACCTTTCGAGCTTTAGACGCGGACATACGGGTGCCCCGCAGTTGTGTTTTGCAGAGAGTGTAAGGAAGTTCGTTAGTAGATGAGATAGGCGGTCACTAATAGCTGCTGGTACGGTGTGAGAGGTCTCAGGGGTGGTGCCCTCAGGGGTGGTGCCCTCACTTCGGTTTCCGGGACCGCTGACACCGTCGTTTCTACAGCTACTGCAGTAGCAGCAGCTGCTACTGCCACTGCTGACACAATTTCACATGTCCTGCTGTTCTTATCACTACTGCTGCAGACCAGCTTTAACTTCAGTGATAACACGGTGGCTACGATGGGAAGGTGCGTGGGGGTATGTCGGGGGGGAGAGGCGGGTAGGACGAAGCACAGGCGATTGACAAGAGAGATTGAAGAGAACATAGACGGACACTCCAAGACAAGGAGGGGGAAGAGGAGGAGGGGAAAGAGGAGGAGGGGGAAATTGGGATGTATCAAAGACGCAAAGGCTGCCGAGCGAGGGGGGGTTAAGGCGGGGAGATATGATCTGATCTGTCCCTGGATCTTGGGGTCTTTGATGTCCTCTCCTCCTTTGACGTCGTCTCCTACCCACGTTGTTGTTTCCTTGACTTGTTGTGCATTTACTTCCTCCGCACCCGCCTCCCTCTTTCCCCCAATCCAATCCATTCCAATCTCACCTACCCGAATCCATACACGCGCGCCGCAGCTTACGCACTGATGCGGGTACCTTCTACGCGGCTCTCAACGGCAAGCTGCTGCCCGGACTTGCCGTACTGAGCCGCCAGCTGGGGGGAGGAACCACCGAAGAGGCGGCACAGGACGGGGGAGGAGGAGGAGCTGCGGGACACAGGTATGTTTGTATGTATGTATGTTATACATCGATCCGGGCCTGACACTGGCCAGGGAATGAAACGGCACCAGGCGATGGAGGCGAAGGGGAGGGGGAAAAGGAAATTTTCCCCTGTGTAGGTTTGTGGGTTGTGGCGAGGCCGACGTGGGGTTTCGGTGCGTGGGGCGAGCTGGGAGTGCGGCCCAGGATGAGGGGGTACGACAGGGCCGGCGATGGGATGAATTTGGCTGAAGAGGATGTAGGGTATTGGTGGTGGTGGTGGTGGTGGTGGGTTGCGATCCAGCTCTGTATTTCTAGGACGTCGCCATCTCCCCGCCACCATCACTGCCACCCTCACTACGGCCAGTTCTTACCCCGCCGCGCGTGCGCGTGTCTATATGTGTGTGTGCGTGTCGCCACTCCTGACTGAAGGCGCCGGCTGGCGCAGTCAACGACCACCACATCGTCGTCGTACGGCACCTTGTACGGCGCGTTGCCGGCGCTGAACTCCTCTCTTCCCGTTATCCTCACCGCGAACAGCATGCGGGCGACTATTCTGGGCCGGCTCCAGGTGTGTAGGTGCTGTACGGCTATTCCCCTTTTATTTTCTCAACACATGTACGGCACATTCGTACACATGTTGTACATGTCTCATTTTACAGCTCAGATAAACAAGAAACCCGATGTGCGTGTGGTCGTAGGGTGGCCCTTGCATTGCATTGTTACATCGTCTCGGCAGCCGACATACATAGACATCCATGGTTGCGGCGTATTACAATTCCCCGTCCTCCCTCCTAACCCCGTCTCTACCCCTCTCCTACCCAACGCGCACGCACGCACACACACGCGCGCGCACGTCCGTCCCATACACCCCCGACCTCCCTAACCCGCACGCGTGCATACCCCTACTAACCCCCTTCACCCTCCAACTCACTCTCCAACCCACCCCAATACACACACATACACAAATACCTACAGACCTTACAGTCCAAGTTGGCGGCCGTTGCTGCCGCTCCCTCCCTCTCCCCGGGCTCTACCGAGCTGCTGGAGCTGTCAGCCGCCATGGACCAGAGCCCCCTCTCGCAGTGGGACACACAGCTGGCGCAAATTAACACCGCGTTTCAGGTGTGTGGGTGTGGGGGGGTTGGGGGGGGGTTGTAGCGAGTTGGGGGTTTTTGCAGGGGGTGAGAACTGTTATATGCGAGGATAAGCAAAGGGTCAGTTGCCGACATCAGCGGAGCCGAGCATTAGCGTGCACAGCTTCTGGTTTCCTTTTTGCAACAGAGTCCCACCATTTCCTTCCCACCCTCTCCATTACCCTCCCTCCCACCCACCCTCCCTCTTCCCTACCTCCCTCACACCCACCCTCTACGTCTGGTACACTCTTGCCCTGGCAGCAGCTTCACTCGTTCATGGTTCGTCTTTTCCCCCACCCTCTCTCTCCCCTCCCCTCCCTCCCCCCCGCCCTCTCTCTCCCCTACCCTTCCCTCCCTCCCCCCCACCCATCCACCCGCTCACCCACCCGGCTCCCGGTGGCAACTGCCTGTCAGGTATACGCGGCCGCGCGCACCGGTGCCGCATTCAAGGACGCCAAGAAGGCCGCTGATGACGTCGTTGCGGGTGAGTGATGACGTGGATGCGTGTATGTACGTGTGTCGGGGTGTGTCATGGTCTGTATGCATTCGCGACATCCTTTAACTTCCTATCGTTTCCGGCATCCTTGGCTTCCTCTCTTTTTCTTGACAGTCTTCTCGTTCCGCTGTGTCTTCCCCCCCCCACACACACACTCTTGCCGCTAATGCGTCGCCCTTCCCATTCCAAACAAACCCTTTCTACAAACCCCGCCCAAACCACTATATGTTTCCAATATACCTCCTCTTCTCCTCTCCTCTCCTACCCTCCTACCCTTCACTCCTCACCCCACCCCTCAGGCGCCTCCTTCCTCACGGCCACGGCAGTGACCCAGCTTCACAACCGGGTAACGGTGGCGGCCCAGCAGCTTAATCGTGACACTGCCTTTGACGGTGTCAAGGTGCGTGTGGGGTTTGCTAGGAGGGTGTGTGTGTGTAAGAGTTTAAGAGTGTGTTTGTGTGTGTGGGGGATAAGGATGGGGTACAACATCAAGGGGTGTGTGGATTGCCTTGGGCGTGTGTGTTGAGGGCTGGGGAAGGGGAGAAAGGGGGAGATTGCCGGAGGGAAGCTTCGGACGTGTGGCGCGGCTGGCAAAACCCGCCAGAGACGGTAACCGGGGGCGAGCGGACACCGGGGGGAAGGGAGGGGGGTGGAAGGGGGGTGATGCTGGGCTACGAGCGTGCCGGCGTTGTGCATGAGGATGGATAGATGGATGGATGGATGGATGGATGGATGGATGGGGGGGTTGGGTGGGGGTTTTGGGAGGGTGAATGGGCTATGAATGAATGAAACGGATGAGAATGAATGAACGAGTGCGTCCCGTAGTTCCTTATAGTACTCGGCGGTTATTTTTTCTTTATTTGCGGGAGGAAAGAAAGAGGATTACATCATATCTCCTCGTGTTGGCCTTTTGTCAGCACACACACAAACAGACACACACACACGCCTGTTTGTACACAATCTCCGGCTTTTGCTTTACTTCTCGAACAGTTTCCAGAACAACGATTCCCTTTCCCGCACTCTCCCCTCCACCGCCGCCCACTACCACCACCACGGCCATCGCGGTCCCCTTTAGGCCCTCCGTGAAGCGCTGGTCAACATCAGTCAGGAGCTGATGGACGTGAGCAGCTGGGCGGTAAATGCGGACAACGGCACAAAGATATCGGTAAGAAAGGCGCCCCGGGAAGGGGGGAGAGGGGAGGAAAAGAGGAAGGGAAGGGGGGAAATGTGAACGAGGGAGGAAGGGCGGGAGGTGCGGGGCGGGGCGGGGCTGGGCGGTAAGAAAGGATGAACAATAAACAAAAGCTGGAGGACTGAGGACTGGTGACTGGTGGCTAAAGTTAGGTACATAGGAGATGGATCCATCTGCGGTCCCCGACAGAGCGATTTGAAATAGAGCCCCCTTAGGGATCGTGACTCGAGACGCGGCGGTTTGTGTGTTGGTGTCCTTCTTTTTCCAACCGGCACTGGGATTTACAGTCTTTCGGGCTTTTTCCGATTTCACTCCGGATTTTCGTTCACCCGGGTCGCCGCACCCATGCACCCATGCCGTACCTCACTCGTACGTGTTGTTCGTACGTGCTTTTGAATATTTGAACTACAGATTGTGTACGTGAGCAACTTTTTGGTGGGAGCTTTGAACGACTACATCGCCGGAGATACGAGCAACGGCCTGGGAGCCACCCTTGGCGATGATGGGCTTGAGAGCGGCAGCAGCAGCGGCGGCAGCGGGCTGCTTGCTTTGGGCGACAAGAGCGGGGTCGTCACCAACGTCACGGCTTTCCTGCAGGTGAATCAAAAGTTGTTTGGTTCGCAGTCTGTTTGGGGGAATAATTTGAGGGAATGAAACTAACTGTGAGGTTCACACAACAATGAAAAGGAAGCGAGGAATTACACGGAAGAGGAATTCGCGTGAGGAAAGCGAAGAGATGTTGACGCCGCGTTACTCATATTATGGTGTAATGAGCAAGCACCGTCACCACCACCACCGACAACAACAACATTTACTCCCTAGCTCTACAGTCTCCCTTATATACCTTTCCGCCTTGTAACATCGTCACGCACGAACCCCACCACCCGCGCAAACCACAGGCTGTGAGCAACGTTAGAGCCATCGCCGCCAGCCTCAACAACTCCGCAGCCGCCATGTCCGGCGCCGCCGCCACCGCCGCCAACACCGCCGCAGCCGGCCCTGACCCAGCCGCCAGCGTTACCCAGGTCACCGCCGTCTTTCGACCAGCTCTGGCAGCCCTCAACAACCCGATTGGCGCCGTCGCTACAGCTCTGATGCTGTACGGCAACAACCCGAGAACCGCCAACGCGGCGGCGCTGCGTGCCGCCGCCAGCAACGCCGCCACCCTGGTCGGCGTCGCCGCCACCAGCTTTGCGGCACCCTTGGCGAATGCCGCTGGCCTGGAGGCGGCATCTCGGTCTTTGCAGTCGGCGTTGGATCCGGTTCAGATTCTGAGCTCGTCCATTGATAGTACGGCACAGAGCACGTACGACTCGCTGGTGATGCTGGGCACGGAGATTGGGCTGTACCAGGCGGGTCTGGAGGCGCTTTTAAGCCTCATGTCGGAGGTACGATTTTGGGCAATCGGGAAGTTTCTCTCAAAATTAGTTGATTCGATTGGTTTGTTGTTTGGTTTGTTTAAAAGTAGATGCCTGCGCGTACGCACAAAAGGCAATCATGGGGCAGGTGGGTGTTACTTTCACATTAAAAACCAAACTAGTACGGAAGGTAATCGACAGGAGAAGACTCCGGGGTGAAGGGCGAGAGGGGAAAAGCGACTTGGGTCTTCTAGGAGCTGTTGGAGGCTGAATAATCCTAAGGCTGAAAAAATGTTGGAAATGAAAACTGTTGGTAAACACTCATATACACCAGTGGATGGTAACAGCAGTAATAGGATCCAACGGGGGTCCGTGGCGCTTTGCTGGTCTTAACAGATTTGGTATGGATCTTCCTGCTCCTCGCTTCTCACCGAACATACCAGCCCTGTCTCCCCGACCACCCCCGCGCCCTTCCCCCCTCTGCCAGTACTTTCCCCCTCAACACCCTAACCCCTAACCCCAACCCTACACCTGTCGGCCTGCCAGCTGCCGGATGGCGTGGCCGCAAAAACGGAGATTACAACTCTAGCGTACGGCATCCAAGACAAGGTACGACACACTTGCCTATCGCTACCATTTTCCGGGGATGATGATGAGAGGCGGGGGGCCAGCGGCGCCGGAAGGTATTTTTCAAAACGGGCCTCATTTTTCACTTACTGGGAACGACATATGCACTACTACCTATAATATAGAGCTACTATGTACCGACCAACCATAATATATACCTACAAACTATACTTCGTACCTACGAATTATAACATACCTTAGTACCTAACAATATGTAGCTACATGCACCCTAGCATTCGGGACTCCTCTGGGTTACTGGACGGGATTTACGGCGGGGGGCCCTCGGGCTATGGCAGCTCTCCCAAAATCGTTCTTGGCTTGCCCACCTGGTTTCGGATCTCGGGTCTGTTTTGTAGATTTCAGGCTCATCCTCTTCCTGGATCTTTTTATTTTTATTTATTCACTTTTGCGAAGTCAAAAAAGTATGTAAACACATGGAAGGTTTTTACAACCGCCGTTGCCCCCTCATTACGAGCTTCGGTTCCCATTCTCTTCCTCCTCGGCCCGCCCTGTGAACCACCACGTGTAATCTCTTCGACCTCCCCATATCTTTCATGTGACCCCGTATTTCCCCCGCAGGTATCGGAGATGTCTTCCGATGTGCTGTCCGCCCTGGGCAGTGCGGCCACCGGTGTGCAGTCCGCCCTCGACGACCTGCAGGTCAGGGGGCACCGTGCCCGGGGGTGAGGGAGTTTTAGGCAAGAAGTATGGTAGGGGGCCGGGGGTGGGGAAAAGACGAACCACGTGAACGAGTAAAGCTGCTGCCAGGGCAAGAGTGTACCAGACCAGACCAGGGGGGAGGGGGCCCGGCAGGCGGGGAGAGGCGGCGAGAAGCAAGGAGGCAGGGGGCGGGTAGGGAAGGGTTGTGTACACTCGCCCATGCGACATCTCGATTGAATGTCGCATAAACTGCTGAAGGACAGGTCGGGGGTTTTGGTGTCTGTTTTAGTTGGTTGGTTGGGATTTGGATTTCGATTTGGTTGGGGTACCTCCCCTCCCTCTCTGCTGCCCCCTTGCCCTGGCAGCAGCTTGACTCGTTCGTGGTTCGTCTTTCCCTCCCCTGCTGCCCCGTGCTGTTATGGGCATGTGTGTGCGTGTGTGTGTGCGTGTGTGTGTGTGTCTGTCTGTCTATTTAATGCATTGGGGTGTTTGAGGGTCTGAGGGCTGTTTACTGTTCGGGGGCTCTTGAAGAGGAACCTGCGGCCATGCACCTTCAATTTTTAAGTTCTTGCGAGTCAATGTTATGTTTGGACCCAAAGGACACCGATTTTGGCACCGATTCCGGTTTTGATGGACTGTTCCGCGCGTGTGCGGACACTGGACACTGTCACTGTATTATGAGGTCGAGAAAGCATAATCCTGAAACAGGCAGACTGACAGAGTGGAAAACAAAGCCACACCGTCTGGTCCGGTCGTTTGCACCCCAAGTAACGCACGTACGACTCGTCCTGCATACCAACGTTTTTCACCTTGTCCTCCCTTCTCCCTAACCTTCAAACCCTACCCCACCCCTACCCCACCCTACCCCGCCTCCGTTACCCGCCCGCGCCCGCTCCCCCTACCCTACCCCCTCAGTCCGATTTGCTGTCGCCGGGTAATGACTTCAGCGAGGAGCATCAGCAGAAGAGCAAGGACATCAACGACATCGCATACCCGGTAGGACCGTGTGTGTACATGTGCATGTATATGTGTATGTGTATGTGTATGTATATGTGTATGTGTATGTGTATGTATATGCGTATGTATATGTGTATGTGTATGTATATGCGTATGTGTATGTATATGTATATGTGTATGTATATGTATATGTATATGTGTATGTATATGTGTATGTATATGTGTATTTGTATGTGTATGTATATGTGTATGTATATGCGTATGTGTATGTATATGTATATGTGTATGTATATGTGTATGTATATGTGTATTTGTATGTGTATGTATATGTGTATGTATATGTGTATGTATATGTGTATGTATATGCGTATGTATATGTGTATTTGTCTCTATAAGTGTCTCTAACATGTGTATGTGTCTGGGGTGGAAGCCGGGCCATGGAACCAGTGGAAGGGTGAGGGAAAGGCGGAGGGGGGTCTGAGCCGGACGAGGGATTTGTGTGCGTAGAAAGTACTCTCTGAGGCGGGGATGGAGTTCGTCGTACATGTTCTTGTCTAGAGCTGAACAACAGGGAGGTCATGATATGATGCCGTGGGCGCCAGTGGCTGTTGTCGTTTTCCATCCGTCTTGTTTGTCCGACCCAGCTACCGAGGTCCGCACACAGCACGTGCACACGCACATACATACATACATACATACATACATACATACATACATACATACATACATACATACATACATACATACATACATACATACATGCATACATACATACATACATACATACATACATACATACATACATACATACATACATACAACGATACCCTATGCGCGTATTCCAACCCGTCTTTATTCCGTACCAGGCGGCTATGGGCGCCTGGGGTTTAGGTGCGGCGCTGTTGTTGCTGCTGGCAGTTTCCATACACCGAAACTGGCCCGCGGGTATAGTCATGTTCGGTTTGGCATTGCTGGTGTACATCACCCTCAGCCAGGTGGGCTCGTGTGTGTTCGTATTTATGTCGGGGGCGGGAGGGGAAGGGGGAGTGAGGGCCGGGCTCCGTGAGGAGCGGGAGGGTGGGCGTGGGTGGATGGGTGGGAGAGAGGGCTGTGTGGGGCCGAGGATGGGTTGAGAAGGTGGAAGTGGACGCGGGAAAGGTCGACCGTGAATGGGGTGGAATGAGGTGTCCTGCGGCGTACATGTGTATATGCGTGTTTTGGGGGGACGAGGGAGAGGGAGGGGGCCCGAGGATAGGATGTAAATGCGACTGAGTTGTTTCGTAAAGGCAGGAAAGCAGGGAAGGGTGACGTGTGTTTTGGGCGGGGGAGGGGGTGAAACCAGGGCGCCCACTAAGCAGCGCTGTAGTACCAGAAAAGGTGGAGGGGCCCCCTGAGGAGTGTGCTGTGTGCACATATACACACATACACACACGTGGTGGACGTAGAACCCCCTAAGATTTCGTGGCCCTTCGCTCACGAAACCTTAGGATTCTACGTCCAACATGCGTTCTGGCCCCATGTCTCCTTCACTCGAGCCATTTGTTGTCTTCTACCCTTCTCCTTTCTTCCCCCCCTTCACTGCCTCATCTCCTGTCGCCGCATCTCACAGCGTCCATCCCACGCCTTCGATGTCGACAGTTGTTCCCTTAATAATGAGTCCTGCCTGCCTGAGTATATACCTCCCCGCCCCGCACTGCCTCCTCCCATCGCCCTGGGCCCTCCCCCCCCCGCCTCAATTTCGGTCACTTCTACGTTTGATACACTCTTGCCCTGGCAGCAGCTTCAATCGTGTGTGGTTCGTCTTTCCCCCGCCTCAATCCCCCTTATCCCGTTGCGGCTCTGGTTTTCCCCCCAGGTGATTACTTCGGCGGGGGCCTTCGCCATGGGGGCCTTGAGAGATGGTTGTGATAACGTGGAGCAGCTGGCGATGACGGAGTTGGTGGAGGTGGGTGTGACGGAGGGGAGGGTGGGGTAAGACGAACCATTGAGGATTGAAGCAGATCTATCTCTGGGTTTAGCTTCACTCGCCTGTGGGGTTCGTCTTCCCCCTTACCCCGAGCTGCTTCCCGTCCCTTCCCGTCCCTTCCCGTCCCTTTCCGTCCCCACCGGCAGTTGGTTACTTGGTTTTATCATCACCTAGTCCCCCCCTCCTTCCCGCCCCGTTCGTTCCCCCGTCCCTATCGTGCAGCACTCCAACAAACCCAAAATGGCGGTGATGTTGTCGTTCTACTTGTTCAACGTGCCCCCTTCGCAAGAAGTCATGATGCAGGTAGAGCTGGGGAAAGGGGTCCGGGGAGTAGTGGGGGAGTAATGGGGCTGGGAGTGGCGCGGAAGACAGGGCTGGGCCTGGGCCTGGGGTGAGGAGGGAGGGCTTTGGTGGAGTGGGCGTCATAAACGCCCAGTTGTTGGGGTTTTGTGGGGTGGAATTGGGGGGTGGTAGGCTGGAATTCTCAAGGGCAGGAAGACAACGGAAGAGGCCAGGCCAGGCCAGAAGATGCTCCAACGAAACGGACAAAGCGGGTAATAATATTAACTTTATAATGCTGGTCAGGTGCTTATTAAATCACAGCATCAGCATCAGCAAGAATAGCCGTCTGGGCCATCTTGCCGGTGCGTATGTATGTACGTGTGCGTGTGGGTGGACGACGTGGAAGGGTGGGAAGTTGGTCCTTTTATTCCAAGTTAGAAGTTACATGTTCCGCACACACACACGCGTGCGGGGGGGGTGTCCGTAAAAGCCGGGGGGAGGCCATGAACGGTCATTACGTTGAAAATTCAAAGACAGCTGGCGTCTTAGATGCTTCGGCTTCGGCTTGTTGGCCGGACATCGGTTCGGCCACCATGTACTATTATCCTGTTGCATTTTGTACACCTTTGCACACGTTTTAGATGTGTAAACGTCCTGCCCTTTTCGCCATCGCCTTCTGTAACCCTCTGAGCCTCGTCGGCCTGGTCTGTGCCGTGCCCCGTGAAGTGGCTTTCGTTTCTTTGTCTGTGTCATTAACACCCGGGGAGGACATTATGGTTTGCCCAACTGTGGCGAACTATGCCCATGCCCGTGTGGGTTCTCCGTTTCTGTATCCCCGGCCCTTGCGTTTCTCTATCTTTCCCTTCCCGCACACACACCGCACACACACACCACACACACACCACACACACACACCACACACACACACCACACACACACACACACAGCCCTCTCTCTTTTCATGTCCCTGTCCACGGTCCCGCTGTCCTCTCCTTCCTTGCTGCCTCATGCTCCTCCTATTATTCCCCCGCCGGCCCTCTCTTCGGGCCTTCCCTCCCGTCCTGCCTGTCCCTCAAAACCCCCACCCAACCCCCTTTCCACACCCCCTCAGGCTGCCTTCAATCTGAATGTGAGCAACACTCGGCTACAGTTGGCCGCTCTCAACCAGACTCTGATGGAGCGGATTGAGAGCAGCTACTCGCTGAGGGGAACGGTGAGGAGGTAGGGGGTAGGGTTGAATAGGGTTTAGGGTTACAAATGCTATCTACCTTCCTCCTTCCGCTATCCCCTGTCGTCCCAACCACCCCACCCGCCGTACGCCGTCCGTACGTCTGTCTCTCTTCCCATCGCATCTAGAGTGGGATCTTTCTTCTTGCTCTGCCGACCTTTCTGCTCGTCTGCGTCTTCATCCTCAGATCCCCTTACCTCCTTCACCCCTTCCCCTCGTCAACACGGGCTGCCAACCCGCACAGCGCCGCGTCCCCCTCTCTTCTCCTCCTGTCTTTTGTTCCTGGTGGGGTATATCCCACCACCCTTTTCCCTCGCCCCAGCCCCCACACCTAACCCGCACCTCTGCTGCAATTTAGGCGGCCGAGCTGGTGAACACCCTGCACACCCAGGGCAGCAGCGCCAAGAGCATGTTCGAGGGCATCATGAACATGGTGGGAGCATGGGGCAGGGGCGGGATGGGTGGGGACGGGATGGAGATCCGTGGGCTGGCTTGGGGTGCGGGTTGAGGGTAGTGGAAAAAAGGGAGGAGTTTCAGGACTTCAATGACCTCGGGGGCTCCCCGAAGGCTGCAGAAGGGGGGGGGGCTCACGATGGGCTTTGTTCGACTGTGTACTGTGCTGTTTGCCTTCCCGCTTTATGGTGCTGTCGGTGCGCGTATGACCCCCAGCCCCCCTCTCTTTCCTCCCCCCTCCACCAACATACCACGCATGAAAAAACATATAATATATACATATATATATACATATATACATATACTCTTGTACACCTTGCGCCTGCTTCCGTGCTACCCCGTACAGCTACGATACGACGCCGTACATGGGCGGTATAAGAATGCCAAGAGCACGGCTTGCTGCGACACGGGTAACTTTGGTTATCATGAGTGGTGCGCCATCACGGCAATGGGTAAGAGCCAAGTGGGGCTCCGGGGGGGGATGGAGGGGGGGAACCTATGGGGGGGGAAGGAGGGAGGTCGGACGGGGTGTGGGGGAGTGAGAAGCGGAGTGGAGCGGGGCGGAGTACGGGAAGCTATCCCTCTTGAAAAGCACTGCAGCAATGCACACCTTTTTGGCATCTTTGCTTTTCGTAACTCCGTTTTACCCGTCTCGACCTGGACCCGTAGTGGGGGCAACGCAACCTCCCATTCCCTCCCTCCTTCACGGACGCCTTTCGGTCAGTTCTACGTCTGGTACACTCTTGCCCTGTCAGCAGCTTCACTCGTTTGTGGTTCGTCTTTCCCCCCCGCACTCTCCACATCCACATCCTGCACGTTTGTTCCTGCTCTCTCTCCCTATTCTCCCTATTCCTGTTGGTCCCGCTGTGTTTCAATTCCTACGCAAGCAAAAGCCCACGCAATTCCTGTCCAATTGCACACACACATATACACACACACACAAACCACGTTTTCCTGGTCCTCGTCTTTCCGAACTCGTCTTTCCGAACTCGTCTTTCCGAACTCGTCTTTCCGAACTCCAACTAGTCGCTACACCCATCCCATATGTCGCACGCAACCACCCGCAACCACCCTCAACTACCCCCATTCTCCACCAATATTTCCCGCAGCCGCGCTGTCCTTCGGGGCCCTCGTCTCCGCAGCCTACCTGCTCGCTAGGATGGACGGTGTACGGCAGCGGAAGAGGGGCTGCTGCTCGTGCTGCAGTTGTGCCTGCTACAAGTCTCATAGTCGTTACTCTGCGGACGAGGAGGAGGCGCATCGCGAGGATCAGGTGCGGGGTAGTGGAGGGGGAGGGCCGAGGGAGGAGGTCGGAGGGGCGTGTGGGTCACAGTGTTTGTTTGCGTTTCGCGTCTGTGTTTCTGGCTCTGCCTTTTGTGTGTTTTGCTGTTTGCTGTTTGCGCGCGCGCGCGTGTGTGTTTACATATGTGTTTACATATGTGTTTAAATCGTATCTTACCGGCCCTAATACTTTGTCAAAAGCAGAGAAGCCTTAAATCCTGAAGGGAAGACTGCCTACCAAATCACTTTCAGCAAAGGGGTGTGTGCGGGAGTCGCTGTCCCCTCTTGCTCGTCCCAAAGATAGTAAACGCTGAGAAGGATGGCATTGTATGTATGTATGTATGTATGTATGTATGTATGTATGTATGTGTATATATGTGTGTATGCATGTATGCCTCTATATTTACGCGCACTACTCGCCACAGCATCCGACCACCGACCAGCGCTATCACTCAGCAGCTACCGCCACCATCCACCATACGTGAGGCACACAACCAACTGTTCCCTTGCCCCCACGATCGCCACCGCTCTTGCACCCACCATCACTACCACCTGCCGGCAGTTCGTCAAGGAGGCCAAGAAGATAAAGGAGCTGCAGCAGGGTCCCGGCCACCTTCCCCACCCGCACCCGCAACCCCATCCCCACTATTTCCCAGCAACCAACCAGCCTCTGGACATGGGCGGCAGCAGCACCAGCAGCGGCATGACCTCCGCTACCGGAGGTGTCGTACATGGCGGCGGCGGGGTGGCCGCGATGGGGATCCCGGCGGTGGCGGCGCAACTGCCGGTTGGGTTTATGACTGCTGCAGGTGGGGTGGGGTGGGGGGGAATGGGGAGGGGTGGGGAGGGGAGGGGGAGGGGGGGGGGAGGGACTGCGGGTGGGTGGCTAACTGCTGAGCTTAATGTCCTGGGAAGAGCGTCACTCGGGACTGAGCTGGTGAGCTCTGGGAAAAAGATCGGACTTTGAAATCATGTGCAAAATCAAGTTGAAAAGCAACGGACTGCCGACGGGCTTTGTTGGCTGCCAACGAGGGAGAGATTGCTGGGCATTCGCCGCTGTCTTGTCGTCCCGGGCAACCCTTGTTACCCCTCCTCTTTATACACTGTGTGGACGGGGCCCCGGGGTTGGAGGACGGGGACACGCGCGCGCCTCTCGCAGATTAGGGAAGGCGTTAACTGAATACCCCGGTCCTTATCCAGACCGAACGTCGCGGCTTCCTTTCCCTTCCTCTTCCTCTCCATCTTGTGGCCGTCCCCCTGTTCCATACCACTCTCCTCCATGCTCCTCCCAACCCCCCCTGGAGCTCCCTTGCCGGGGTCCCGAAACGACCACACATCTACAGCTTCCACCATCCCGGCCTTCCGCTGGCGGTCCCCCTCCTCTCCTTCCCCCCTCTCGCTCCTCCCTGGCAGCAGCTTCAATCGCGTGTGGTTCGTCTTTCCCCCCTCTCGCTCCCTCCACCTCTCACGCGTCCTTTGCTTCTCAGCATATGTGACCGCCGCTCCCTACCTACCTACCTACCTACCCCCTGCAGGAGTTGCCGTCGCTGGCGCTGCGCTCAGGCCTCCTGCTCCTGACGTCTACGCGGCCCCCTCAGCGCCCCCCATGACATTCGGCAAGTAGCTTCTGACCTTCAGGCGCGGGTAGGGGAACAGTTTGGCTGTGCTCCGGGCCCTCAATCTGCGGGAGTATGAGAGACTTGCCTGTTTGCTTACCACCAGTGCAAACCACCACACGGTGTCGGGAAGAAGAGGAGCAACTGGGCTGACCAAACGCGGGAGAATGTCGTCTTCGTTTCTTTTGCTATCTTACATTTTCTTCCATTCTTGCTGTCTTCACGTAACCTTGTTTTGCTTTTTCCTTAAAAGAAAACTTATTGTCGTGGGGAAGGGGACGGGGACGGCAGGTGCTCGTTTTTTTCAGCCGCAGTGTAGCCTGCGCCTGCTGCTGCTGCTGCTGCTGCTGACTGTTGCTGTGTATGAAAAGAATCCGCCGCAAAAGGCGGTTGAGTAAATTCTTTTTTCTTCCGTTCAAAATCTGAACTTGGGCCTTGGATCGAATTTGGACCTTCGCGGCTCCCACATCGTAAGCAAAGTCCCGTTCAGGCGGGGAGGTTGCGATTACTGTTCGCTACGGTTACCACGTCAGTTGAAGTCTACACACACACGCACGCACACACGCACAGGTGCTTCATGGGCAGGTTTTGGTGGTCGTGTGTGTCAAAAAGGTGACCCGAGCCCTGCGCTCCTCCAGACCTACTTCCCTTGTGCTGTAAGGAGGGAGTACGGGGGGTACGGGGGGAGAAAGGGGGTCGGGACTGGTCTGAACCCGCATATGAAGATGCTGTCCAGCGGCTTGTCCAGCGGGAGGGATTGGTTTTTGGATTTGACTAGGTTACGGGTTGTTGTGCCTTTTAGTGATTAAGACCTTTATTTTAGATGAGTGTTCTGTTCTATCGTAGGGCACGGTTTTCCTTGCCAATTGATTTTTCTTAAATTTTAAAAAATGTTAGCAATGCACGTATTGCATTGGGGTTGTTAGTGATGATGCTCATCATTGCAGCGTGTGCCAGATTGCTGGCAACTGGCGGTTACTTTTAACCGTCCTAACTGCAAACGAACTGCGGCAGAGGGAGGACGACATGCTGATGTTTCGGATAGGTGGCCTAGTCGATGGTGGTGGCACGAGTGGCGGCGGCGGCGGCGGCAGAGCATAAACCTTATGTACCGCTCACGCACATACACACATGTGTACGATATGTACGATGCTCCCTACTTGACACGCGTGTGCGTGTGTGACTTCAGGTGCGCACGTTTGTATGCGTGTATGATGGGGGGGGTGCAGATCTGCGAAGAATGGAAGACGAGGGGAGTCGAATGGGCGAGAGCGTCGGTTTTCGGGTAATGTACGGAGCTGTACGTCAGTCTACGGCGGATAGTTCCTGCTCTCCATTTGAAGTCTGCTGGCAAGAACGTTGCACCTCGAGGCCGTGTGATTATTTCCAGATTTTGAGCAGAGCGACTTGACGGCTAGAGACACGGCGCCTAGCGAAAAATTCAGCGCAAGATTTTTCATTGCTGAAGCATGTGGTGTGCCTACTGTTTCTGCCCATATCGACGAATTGTGTATGATGAAGACGGAACGTGCCCTGCTTGATCGGAATGCGTGTGGTGGATGTGTTTCCGCGTGATTGTGCGCGCTTCTGTGGATGTGTGTAGCTACGTGGGTGTTTAGAGGGGACCACAGCCGGAGCCTGCCTAGGACGGAAGACGCAGACTGGAAAAATCCTTCCATGTAAACGAAAGCAAATTCTCGACGTACTTTATCGCCGTGCACCTCGTGCCGGCAGGGGAGAGCACTTTGCAACGGATGGGAGATGGCTTTATCAGCTGGGCACGCTACAGTTCCATGCATGGCATTTTCAGCTCCTCTTTGCTTGGCTTTTTTCACCTTCACCGTCTTGTCGACTCCTGCAGCCCTGCACAAATGCTGATCTACCTTTCTTTCCCTCCTGTCGGCGCTGTTACACTAGATGCAGCACAGCACAGCGCAAGTCCGCTACCTCAGTCAGTGGCGCCTGCTTGTACTCACCATCGAGGGTCGTTTTGCTACTAAGAAGACCTAACGCCCGGGCCAGCGTGCGCTCACAGGGCTTAGCCAGGGCGTCGCCGTATCCCTGTGGGTGCGCCTTAGAACCATAATGGCGATGGAGGCGTGCTGGGTCATCATGACGCAGCCAAGGCTCCGCTTACAATTCTAGTTGCGCGGTCTGCGCTGGCGGTGCACTCTTACAAGCAAGACTCAATTCAGGTGAAACAACACGACAGCTGATCTTAGCCGGACGGCTCGTCGGCCCTAGCGGTTAGCGCCTAAGCCGTTCGGGTTAAGGAGGGAACGGCATTCGTAGCAGAATTCTACAGAGCGGAGCGGGCTGCAGGAGTGATCGTCAAGAATGGTGCGGATTGCGGCGCTGCGGAGTGCGGAAAGACACCTGTTGTTTAGTTCGTTTGGTAGTAACGGTAATAACGGAAAGTGATGGAGCACGGCGACATCTGGAGGCGTTTTACTTATTACCAGCCCTTCGCGATAAAAGGATTATGCTAGTGCAAAATTATGCTAAGTCGATATTAGGCTATTATGGAGGATCGTGTGCAGCAGTTTCACCTAGACGCGCAACGCCCACGCGACGCGAAGACTCCCAAGGAGATCGAGCGCCTCCGAAAATTTCTCTACAAGAATCAAGAATACAGATTCACGGAACGCGAGCAATCACAACTTTTCTCCGCCATACAAGCGCACTACGCCGCGCACGCAGACCTGCCCGACGAAAGTGCAAAGGAGCCGGCGCTGCAGCTGATAGATGACGCTTTGAAAATGCCCTTTACAGTTTTTACGACCAGCCAAAAAAAGACATTTTTGAAATGGCACGCTAAGCTAACTGGTGAAGGCGATGGCAAGCTTTCATCGGCAGCAGCGGTCGTCGCACCAGACCGAGCAGAGTATCAAGTAATTGACTTGATTGGAGATACAGTTACCTGTATGACGGACGAAGGCGACGATTTTACGGTGGACCTGAAGGGCAGCGATGCAGGCATGGTCGCGCAGGTAAGCTTGGGGGAGATGCGTGGCTTTATGCCTTTCTCCGCGATATTTGCCGCGTGTTTGTGCTTTTTCTAGGTCGCCTGTTGGCAAGGCGTGGGCCTCGGAGGAGGCCGGGGGTTCTGAGAATGTCCCACTATTAAGGCAATGCGATCCTGATCACAAACAGGCTGTATAGTAATGTCGACGTCTCTTAAGGCTGCAGACAGGGGAGGCGTTGGGCTAAGTTTTGCTGGGGAGGTCGGCGGGGCATTTCCCATCTCCAGCCTAGGACTCCTGAACCCCTCATGGGTTGCCACGACGGCATGTGGTATGCAACGCTTTACTGTGCAACCGGAACGGAAATAGAAATTACATAGCAGCATCGCGCATTGCGCTGTACAGTACGCGCAAAGCAGGTACCGTAATTCGGAAGCAAAAGGTGCATGCGTTTTGCGGACTGGCCTCGTTGCGGGTTAAGGGAAATGATTTGGGAGGAAAGGGGGCCCAGGCAATCCGAAGCCACGGTACGAGCCAAGGTGAATTGTAAATCAGAGTACCAGTAACGGAAAAAACTGAACTGTTCCAAAAACAGTTGCCGTACTGCCGACGTGTACATCATCTTCTCGAAAAAGTGTAGAACTCCTAGAACCCCAAACCCCAAACCCCATTCCGGAGATGCTGCATCCATGAATACCGTCGTCAGGCACCGCACCTGATCCTGGTGATCCTGGTACTCTTAACCTCCACAATTTTTTTTGCCATATGAACTTCTTCACCTTCCTCACTCTCCTTCTGCTCTGCCTCCTCCCTTTCTGCCTACATCAATCGACCGCCGATTTGCGGCTCTGGGGGTTGACTCCTTCCGGACCGCTGGCTGGCTGGCTGGCCTGATGGTGGGTGCAACAGTTGCGGAGCCAGTTCGAGGGCGGTGCAGCTGTCACGGTGACTCTCGATTTGGGGAGGCGAACGCTGCTGGCAGCTCGCACGGAAGAGACCTAGGAATATTTCCTGGCGGATGCTTAATTATTATTTATTGTTGAGAATTGCGTTGCATGAAAGCAAATGACTGACATGACACTGACAGTCAAATCGTTTGCAATATCAAGACTGCGGCTTTGTCACCGCGATGGACGGGGGACTGCCTTGCTAGATGCACGCTGGACTCCGCTGCCAGGAGCCTTTCCACCGCCACATCCATAGCAGGAGCAGTAGCAACAGCGGTAGCAATAGCAACAGCTATAGCAGTAGCAACAGCCGTAGCAGCAGTATCCCGGGTTTTCCACGATGCTGATGTATCTTAGTTACCTTCTCAACAACAACAAAAACACGCCAAGGTGTTGATACCAGGAGTTGAACTGCCGCAATTGCCGATGTGTGTGGTGTTGACAATAGCAACGGATTTCATGAAAGTTTAGACACCGCCGAGAGTCAGTTGATCAGTCTGTCGGTCAGTCTGTTTGCCTGTATATCTATCTGACAGCATGATGTGTGGGACAAGGGGGTCATATCTTCACCCTGCGGCCGCTACCCTTCGAAACCCTGCCTTCCCCGGTATTTCGGGGTGCCCTCATCCAGTCACCCTAGTTAACTTCTCAATTGGTCGCTCAGGTTCCGTACCCACCACCGGCATCCAACGGAATCTGCCGGACCGACGGCGGCTCAACTCCATTCCTGGTCAGCTCGTATGTTAATTTTATCCCAGGTCACCATCGTCCATCGACTAGGGGCACTTAGCCTTTCTCCATCCTAAGGGGCACTTAGCCTTTCTCCATCCTAAGGGGCACTTAGCCTTTCTCCATCCTAAGGGGCACTTAGCCTTTCTCCATCCTAAGGGGCACTTAGCCTTTCTCCATCCTAAGGGGCACTTAGCCTTTCTCCATCCTAAGTCTCTAGTCTCGAAAGCCTCCATCAACCGCCTCTTCACCTCGTCAACCAGTTCTTGACACCTAGCAGCTGTGAGGGAGTCATCTATGTTGATTAGGAAGTATACCCGTTCCTCTCCCTCGCCACGTACGAATATGGCAGGATCTGCGGCAGTAGGCTTGAACCCCATTTTCCTTAACTCCTCCTTGAGCTTAATATACCATGCTCGCGGAGACTGCCGCAGACCGTAAAGTGATTTATGAAACAGGCATGCGTCATCAGGTCCACCAAGGTCATATCCTGGCGGCTTGCCGCAAAATACAGGCTCCTCGAGATCTCCGTTAAGAAACGCGGTTTTGACGTCCATCTGTTCGAGAACAAGTTTTTTTAACACGCGCAGCAACATCAGAAAGAACAGCACGAAGGGTGGTGTGCTTTCCCTCCAGCACAAACACCAGTCCAGTCCATCGACTGTTGAACTCGAGAATAAAAGGGAATGAGCGTGCGATTATCGTTGGTCTGGTATGCTTGTAGAGTAGTAAGTTGTGGCTGAGCTGAGCCGTTAGTTGCTTTTGTAACGCTCTGGCAATCATTATTGCATTCGATCTACTTAGCCTTTAACACGCCGCCCGGCTGACTACGTACTCAGCTAACATAGTTGCGTCCGTGCACCTTATGATTGATTGTTTAACGGCCGGAGCTGTAAGTTTAGCGTACAATCAAAATTTTATATAAAAGGTTGCTCTTTGCCAGCTGTGAAACGAAGGATGCCGTTACCTATCATTGCTAGAACCCTCGACAGATTTCGAAGCTGCTGTGATTTATCATGACTATAGAAAAGCACCGATCGGTGGACGTCAGATCCCAGTATATGCCCTACAGGATACCAGAGGATGTCAGCTTGAAGATTTGTGGGGGTAAAAGATCAGCTCCCCGCGGCCTATCCCGCGAGTTCTCTTTGTCTGGTGGTTCACTCCCACTCTCTTTCCCCAAGCCTCAGTCTCAAGACCCCTCCCGCTCAGCACAAGCCTCAATCACTGTTTCCTGAAAACCCACTCTTCATTGTTTCCCTTTAAGGACCAGCTTTTGCTTTCCCCAGCTTCGGGCAGTCAAAGCCCTCCTCTAGCTTCTTATACTTCCATGCTACTGTAAGCACGCCACGCTGTTCACTAAGGTTTAGTCAGATGCTCTGCTGGGTGTGACGCCCCTCGCTTGCAACGCCCCAACCCATCGGATTGTTTCGTTTGCAATTGCTTCACGTGTCGTATAGAGTAAGGGTCCAGGCGCGCATATTTTAACACTGCTTGGATGAGGAGATGCTTACCCCGTGACAAGACTTACGGAATTCTTCAAGTTCCCCATTAGCCCTATGCGGTGCTGTATATGGGGAAAGGGATTTAACTACCGGCTTGATTTAACAAGTGCGCCGGCTTAGTATGTATTATAATCGCCCTAGCTAGTGGCGCGTATGCAAAACGGAATTTATAGTCCCCTCAGCAGTTGCTTTGATTTCAGGCAACATGCCTCCTTGGCTGGCTGCCGCCGCGGCCTCGCATGGATATTAACGAGAACAACTGATAGCACTGGCTTCAGCTGCTTAGGTAGCTCAAGAAACCATTGAAGCATGTAAGCTCAACAAGCACTTAAGCATGTAAGCGTGTAAGCATGATCGGCTGATGACGCTGTAGCTACTGTAACAGTAGCTAACACGGAAACAGTTTCCGTGCTCATGTTGGCCAGGTGGGCCCACTACCCTCACACTAAACCTTTTCGGTAAAACTAAATAGTTGGCAAGCATAAGTTTTCAAATTGTTTTATTTATATAGAAGCATTAGGGCCTCAGGAGTCAACATGCTGCGCTGTTATTTCGTACTACTTACCTCTTGAGAGTTGCCACCTGCGCCTGGCGAGTGGGCAAATCGACATTTCAGTAGATCGCTATAAATATCAAGTGGTATGATACTCTGATGGGCGTTATCACAGGGTTTAGGGGCCAATAAAAATGCTTCTACTTTACCTGCTGGCCTTGGTAGGCGTCCCAGCTAGCACAGCGGCAGGGGCCAAGTATGAAGAGGTTTCATGGTATACGAAAAGCATCTTACGTGGGGAGGTCGGCGTCTTAGGCCAGGGCGTTCGCATTCCTAGCAAGCTTTTCGCGCATTCATCCTGCCAGCTAGTGTACCTTGCAACTCCCGACTGGTCTACATCTCAAGTTTATGTAGACTTTGGCAGTGCCTCACCAGCGACCGGGTGCAAGCGGCAAGCCTTTCTGGTTTACGTCGATGGCTTCAATACGCCACGCGCAGCGACCGGTATCGGGTCAAGTTTTGACGTGCCGTGGGCGACTCTGGTGACGGCGCCCGCAACCGTGTTGACCGCCACCTACAACCCTAGCCCTAGCCCAGGCACCAGCACCAGTAACTCCGGGTCGCAGTCAAGCTCGCCTCCCCCAGCTCTCACCACCTCTAAAGAAGGCACAGTCACAGTCTCGATGGCTGATACCGCCGGAAGGCGATGGTGGAATTCGAAAATCGACATTCCTCTGGACAGGTGGGTAGCCACCGAATGAGGTGAAGTGGGTGAAGAGGGAGAAACAACCGCGTGCAGCGTACTACCCTTGAATCATATCGTCATCGTTGCCTGCTTTCTTCACCACCCCTGGACTCCACTTTACCGTACTCTTAAAATCAAACCCTCTATCCTAGCCATCTCCAGCTTATGCTGCATACTTCATTAACCGCCCTCATCCCATCTCCACCCCGCATTCTTCACTTCATAAGGCCCCCCTGGAGGCGTATGCCCTAACAGCCACCACATCATTTCGCCGCCACATCATTTCCCAACCCCTACTCTCCCCCGCGTCTGCCGTATGCGTACGACACGTACAACATGAAGGCTGAAGTTCTCGTCCAAGTACGACAACCTCCAAGACATTGGCGCCGGGCTTCCGGAGGAGCTGTTTCCGGAACCGGGCGGCCCACTCTCACGTCCCGTCCTCGCATCCGCCTACCTGCAAGCCAGCAGCAACACCCCCCAAGACCCCAGAGCCTACTTGTACACAGTGGAAAAAGAGCAGCAGCAGAAGCAGCAACGGCAACAGCAGCGGCAACAGTCCTCAAACGGTATGGTAGTGGTGGTGGTGGTGGTGTGTGGCGTGGCTGACTTGGGGTACACATTAGGGGGCACCGAGAGTGACTCCTGTGTGCGTCTGTCTGTGTGTCTGTGTCTGTGCGTGCGTCTGTCTGTGTGTGCGTCTGTGTGTGTGTCTGTGTGTGTGTGCGTCTGTGTGTGTGTCTGTGTGTATGTGACTCACCAAGTACTTCACCCCGCATAATCACCTTTTCCGTAACCCTTACCCCCCCCTCGTACCAAACTTGTCAGGCGCCGAGAACGATGGCAGTAGCAGCAACACCCGTAGCAATGATGGAGGCAGTAGCAGCAGTGATAGCAATGATGGAGGCAGTAGCAGCAGTGATAGCAGCAGCAGTGAGAGTGGCAGTAGGTTCGTTGGCCTTGTCTCTGGCCGGCTGCGGATATACAGCCCTTTCGCTCCCCTCGAGTGTTTGGACGTGCTGTATTCGTGGCAGGGGAAGGCTGTAGTGGTTGACGGCGGCAGTAGTAGCGGCAGCAGCAGTAGCGGCAACAGCACTAGCGGCAGCTTTTGGAATCCGCTCGCGTCTGACACCCAGAACTCATGCTTTGTGACTCAGCAAGCCGTACTGTTGTACAACGACTGCCCTTCAATTGCCGCGTCGGCGCCGTCAACGGAATCGGATGGTGGCGGCAGTAGCACCAATAGCGACGGCAGTAGCAACGCCACTAGCAGCAGCAACAGCTTACCTTACTTCAACTGCAGTAACGAAAACGGAATGGAGGCTGAGATCGCATGTCTGATGGATCAACAACTTTTGGAGCTGGCGGCTAATATGTCGTACGTCCCATCTGACGCGGACGTACGGGTCATGGTGTACTACAAGCCGTACAACGAGTACGTAGTCGCGCCACGGGGCCGTAATGGAAGGGGTGTGGGCAGCTTTGGGGGAGAGGGGGGGGGAAGAGGGGGGTTACGTGACACGGGGGGGGGGGAGATGTCGTGCACGGTTTCGAAACCCGTTCTGGGTCGGGCTCGTCGTGATTTGGATGGGGGTACTATGAATTCGATTTGACCCAACCATCGGTTTTTTTATTACTGGTGCTTACGTCACCATTCCTAACTGTCTGTCGTACACCACAGTTGCCGCCACTATCTCGTAACAGTTGCCCTAACTACCGTGGAATGTTAGGCAGGATATGTTGTTTGAGGGATATGCTACTTGAGCGTCGTACAATACAACCGCCAGCGGTACTCCTAGCCGGCTCCCAAAAAACCACCATCCCGTCCTGCCGTGCTTACCTCATATAGCCCCATATTCGTGCTCCCTTCTCCTTTTTCCCCCTCCATCCTTTCTCCTGCCGTACCTCCTGCCTGAGTCTGCTGTTTTTTCCCCCTCCTAAATCCCTTTCCCTCATTTCCGTTGTCCGTTATCCGTTGTCAGTTGCTATCGCCAGTCAGCGCAACGCGTGGGTCAAACTGGATACCAGGTGCGGTGAGGGCCCCCGGGGGCCCCCGGGGGTGGGTGGGGTGGGGGTGGGTGGGGTGGGGGGTGGGGGTAGCGCTGCCGTGAAGGCGATTGGGCGACAGGAAGCCGTGCGATTGAGGGCCGTTCGGGCTTGGGAAGGACACATACACACACACACACACACACACAGAAAGAGAGAGAGAGAGAGAGAGAGAGAGAGAGAGAGAGAGAGAGAGAGGGGGGGGACCCTCTGGACGGCCGCGGGGGGCCGCGGGGGTTTGGAAATCCCCAAACCCGCAGTAAGCACTGCTCGGAAGCTCACTATGTCGTGATTCATTCGTTGTCACGTAAAGCCATCCTTCGCTGCAAGACCCAAATCAAAACATCACACTAACGACCGCTTTTGACTTTTTTCCTGCATCCGCTAACCAGAATTATTCGATTTATCCTTTTTTTTTGTATCAACGCAGCTAATTTTCTTCACGGCGGGTCTGATCGTCCTGCTCACTCTCATCCTGCTGCTGCCCACCGCCTTCCGGCTGTTCATCAGTTTCCCGATACGTTGCATCGTGTACGGCATACGGTGGGTTTTACGGGAGCCGTACACTTGTAGTACAGCGGACACCGTACAGCCAGATTGGAGGCTCGGAAGTGTCCCATGGAATGTCTACATTGGGCCTTATGGGGGATCAGTAGCAGGGGGGAATGTCTGAAGGGGGGGGGAAAGAAGGTAAACTAAATGTCCAGGAGTTGTCTCATCTTGGCAGTCCACGACTGCACAAAAGCATCTTTGATCCGATGTCCTTAGATTGTTATCATGGTTATCGTCAAGGTAAATCCCAACAAATCGCTATCGGAGAAGTTTTATCCATGACGGTGTTTTTTATTTATTTCGATGTGTCCTCGTTAGCATGCGATCCCGATGGGTTGCGAATGGGTTGATGTGTGCCTGCTGCCGCTTCATTTCGCCATCCAGGACCACCTCACCCCATTCCCTCCAGCAAACTGACTTGTGGACCAAGAACCCCCGTAACCTCGCCGTGGGTCCCCCTCCGAAACCAGTGTCTCCGTTCCGTTGTGTTGGTTTGTCACAAACTGAAACAAATGATGACGTGGCACGCAGGAAGTTGTTTCAACGTAGCCGGGTCAACGATTTGCCGCTCGACACGGGTTTGCATTCGTACAAGGAGCCCGTACACCACCGGTTCTTCGAGCTGCCAGTTGTACGGCATTTGCTGGGTGCCCGGAAGTACCTGATGTACGCCATGTGTACGATCCATTCGGCGGATGGACAGTACCGCGCGCTGCAGGTAAAGTTGGTGCCGTACACGGTGATGATACAGGACACGCCGCGTGGGGATTTAGATTTGCAGCTGATCATAAATAAAAACTATATCCGTCCACGTAAAATATTCCGTTGATCCGAAACCAAATTTTAACTCTGATGTCTGTCTCCTTTGTCCCGTCCTATCTGTTCGTACACCTTACAAAGCGCACAGCGCACGGGAGGTCCTTCAGCCTTTTCCTCAAGTCCCGTAATGTTCCCGTAAACGGCGCTGCTGGATATTCCTCCGGCCCTCTCACCCACTCCCAACACCAGATCCCTCCATACGCCTCCTCCTTAGCTGCGTGCACATGTGTCCTCTCCCCAACTCTCTTTTCCAATACACAAAGGCACGTCTTCCCCCTTTTGTCTTTTATATTTTCCTTTTATTTTTATATTTTCCTTTCCCCTCTGTGCCACATTTTCCCCCCTGGCCGTTTCCCCCGTTCTTTCCATGTTTGCTGCACCCGTCAGCTCCCCCGCTAAAACCCCGTACAAACCCCGGCGAAACCCCCGCGCACATTTCTCCTCCAGGTGTGCGTTACGAGCTCCGTGGCACTGATGATCTGCATGATGTCATTCCCGCCAAACCTCGCACCATCCCTGGACTTCTACATTCCACCCCTCAACTTCCGCATCGAACGTGACTCGGGCGACCCCCTCTCCAACGTGATTTACTTTGTAACCATTTTGGCATACTCGCTATACCTGGGCTTCATCGGTTACCTGGCTATGTTAACGAACTACAACCGACCTCGGAACAAGTACGTTGAATTTTACGGATGTGAATGGTTTTAGGGTTTTATTACTTGTATGGGGCTTCAGGCGTTTCTATGGATCTGTGGTTGGGGCTCTGAAAGCACGTATGTATGTATGTATGTATGTATGTATGTATGTATGTACGTATGTATGTATGTATGTATGTATGTATGTATGTATGTATGTATGTATGTATGTATGTATGTATGTATGTATGTATGTATGTATGTATGTATGTATGTATGTATGTATGTATGTATATATGTATGTATGTATATATGTATGTATGTATGTATGTATGTATGTATGTATGTATGTATGTATGTATGTATGTATGTATGTATGTATGTATGTATGTATGTACGTATGTATGTATGTATGTATGTATGTATGTATGTATGTATGTATGTAGTGCAATTGGTTTTATCGCATCGCATTGCATTAAATACGTTTGTTATCATGCCAACCGACGCCATCCTTCCTGCTCTCATCTGTTGGTCATGTGCACGTGTGTGCGTGTGTGTGCGCGTGTGCGTGTGTGTACGTATTCTCTCCCCGCCTTTCTTCCTATTCGCCCCACCATCCTCCCCTTTCCCCCCATCCTCCCCCCTTCAATTCTACTGCACACACAAGCACCTACACACCTACCTAATATCCTAGCCGGCGTGTTGGCCGCTTGGATTTGTGTGCACATGTCCTTGAGTTGCGTTACCGCCCTTCAGACGCGCAACGAGCGCATTGGTTGGTTTCGGATACGTAAAGATTTACTGTATATTTCCCAACACCCGTACTTTCTCTGCCGTACAATCAGGTACTATTTAACCCAGTGCATACTTTCCGTGATTTTCATGCTGGTCCTGGATGCGATGGTACTCATCCAGGTGAGTGTGGGTTGGTGGTTGGTAGTTGGACGAGTCGGTGGGTGTGAGTTGGTGGTTGCACTGTACCACTTTTTTTCCAATTTGAACTCAATAAAATTCCTATTTTCCAATTTGAACTCAATAAAATGTTGTTAAGATTTTTTCCTCCTTAAACGAATCCGATTTGAATCCACATTGACATCGCTTTCGAACTCCCACACGTCCCTCAGGTTTACTCCATTTTGCTATATTGGGACCATTTGTCGCCTCAGTGGCCCTGGCTGCCCATCACCACCTTCCAGCTGGGGAACCTGGCGGTTGCCAATGTGACACTGGTAGGGCCCCGGGGTGATGGTGGGTGCAAATGTGACACTGGTAGGGCCCCGGGGTGATGGTGCAAATGTGACACTGGTAGGGCCCCGGGGTGATGGTGGGTGCAAATGTGACACTGGTAGGGCCCCGGGGTGATGGTGGGTGCAAATGTGGCACTGGTAGCGCCGCATCCGTAGAGATTGAATCCAGCGTGCGAATCTCGATCCAGCGACTGTGACCTCAACTCCACATCATAGCAGCTATAGCCATATTCTCACGCTCCCGACAATGTCGACGGTCGACTCAGGAATCGAACCTAGGACCTGAATCCGCAAATTGCAGTTGTGTCTCCAGACCAGATCAGACCAGTATCTCTGTATGTTTATAGTATTTCTTTTACTCTAAAACCCTAAAACCCTAAAACTCTAAAACCCTAAAACCTGCACAGGTGGCAACTCTGATCAGCAGGGAGGATCGCAACGTTGTCCTTCGCCGTACGGAATATCATGCCCTCATGGAAGAGCTGCGATCGCGGGAGGCCCATCTGGCTGCCGTCAAAGCAATGGCGGCGGCGGCGGCACGGGCAGCTGGCGGCGCCGCCGCCGGCGGAGCCACAAACACCGATGCGGACGCCAACACCGCCTTTGGCGGCGGCAAGGACATTAGCCCGGCCACCGTGCACAGCCGCGCCGGGCTGCCGCCGTTGGCGGCGGCGGCGGAACTGCCACCCTCAACGGTACAGCAGACGCGACATCGTCGGCGGCACGGTGGCTCAGCGGTGGGCAGCCAGCCGTCGTCGCTGCCGGAGAATGGGCGGAGTACGGAAATGGCGGCCACCGGCGGCAGCGGTAACTGGGGTTCTCACAGCTCGGTGCATATCAATCCCCTGGCGGCGATGTCGCTGCCGCCGCGCGCAGGCAGCACCGTTGGCAGCGCTGGCGGCAGCTCCGGCGCGGTGGCGGATACGGCCGCGGTCGCGGAGAAGTCCTCCCCCAGCGGCGGACGGGTCAAGTCCGTGATGTCGCTTCGCTTCGCGAGCTTGACACTAACACGGCAGCGGTGGCGGGAACGCCAGGCGGGAGGTCGTCTGGGGGCGCTGCTGCGACGGTGGCTGCGGCCAATATCAGAAGACGCCGCCTTTAGGTATATGTCGTACATGTCGTACATGCACGATTTTTTTTCGTGGCCGCCGTCCATTTTCTCATTTGCCAATAGTAACTTAACTTAGGGGTTATTGACGCAGCTGTCAATAGCAACATATGCAGTAAGCAACTTGTGCATGTATTCCTCCTGACTGATACTGGCCGGATGCATCATCAGGCTCGATAAGGGTTGCCCGCCGTGTTGTTTCCATCCGTCCCCATATGACTGATTTTCCTGGATACAAAAACCCCCAGACAAAAACCCGCTCACCTTCCTCGTTCCCTGTTCTCCCCCGCACATGCCTTCAACCCCCCCCTCTTTCCCACACACGCCTTCGCCTCCCCCTCCCTACACACACGCCTCCCCCCTTCCTCCCCCCTTCCTCCCCCCCCCACATTCAGGTACCCTGCCTGGCTGCTGGCCGCCCTACTGGTCTCGTCGTACATGCTTGTATTCGTGTACGCCAGAGCCATGTCCTGGGCGCATGTGGTGGGAGACTGCTTGGCGAATCCCGCGGACTGCCTCAACGATAACCTGGCGCGGTGAGTTTTGGTTATTTTTTGGACTACTGATTTTATTCGTGTTGATCAGTTTCCGGCTGGAAAAGGCAAACGGGACCGCGTGCGAGCATAGGGGGTGTGCCTGAACGGGTTTTGGGGCTTTGGATGGGCCTTATGAGACGGGTTGGGGTTTGGGTTAAAAGATTGGGGTGTGGGGCTGTGGATGGGAGTTTCTGCACGGGAGGGAGAGGGAAGGGGGGGAAGGGGGGAAGAAGGAGCCAGGTAAACCCCAGAACCCATTACCCCCAAAAACGCTGCGCACGACTTTGCAAAAACCCGACTCCTCATCCTTTCCCTTCTCCCTCCCTTCCGCCCCAGCATCCCCCTGATGAGCACTTGGCTCTATAACATTTGTCCCCACCATCAGTTGATCCATGATATAATGTGATGTTTCCCCGTCCTCCATTTCCCCCATCCCCATCCCCATCCCCATCCCC